TTCGGAGCTCAGCATAGCAAAGTTTCCGCAACTGTTAGTTTGGGGGTCAAATGCGTCACGGTATATCGGAATGGCTGACAGGTCCCAGACATCTCTAAAAAGATTCATATTCCACTATTCATTTTTAATGATTTTTGTTCAAGTTTTCACAACACAATATTATCTGGAACAGATAGAATAAAAAAGACAAGAGAAGATAGAGTGAAAGGGAACAAGAAAAGGAGACAGAAAAAGAACAGAGAGAGAAACATTAAATATAAAGGGGGGAAACTTCTGATTTTCCGTCATTAGAAAATGATTATTTAAGACATTCAGTCTCCATATTCTCTGCTTTCTGCTAAGCCAAATTTCTGTTTAGCCAAAATGTTACAGTGCCGTCCATTTCTTCATCCCACGAGAAGCCCAAGAGGGAATCCCCAATTGTTACTATCGGTTATTAGTTATCCGTTAGTTCCCATTGCCATTTGTATTGGGAAATAGCATTTTCCCATCCATGTTCATGTTCACCTTTCTCCCCTGTGGCCACGTATTGGAAAAATATTCTGTATCCCCCCCCCCCCGTTCACTTTCCTCAGGCGGGTTCTGCTTCGTACGCAGGATGTTTGATGTATTTGGGGTCTTGCCCACCCGTTTCCTTGGTGGCCCTATTTTGGGGGCCAGTTCTCCTGCCTTCCTCCATGGCCCGCAGCTTGGGGTTCCGCTTTTTGAGGTGCTTCATCTTCTGCTCCTCCGCTCTCCCCAATTTGGGCCAAATCCTGCACTGGGGCAGCGGACCGCCTTCCTCCCCGCCCTGCTAACTTTCCTCCGTTCTTGTTCCCTCGCAGAAAGTTTGTCCGGTCGGCCTGGGGCTGGACGTGCATTTTCTTGGGCGGCTTCATCCTTTCGGTGGTTTACCTGGCGACCCACCGGGTTTTGCTCACCTTGAGGCACCTCAGCCGCCTAGGCGTGGGGGCCGGGCTCTGGCTGGGGGCCACAGAGACCTTCCTCCTCATCGAAAACCTCACCGGCTACTGTTTTGACCCCGTGCCCGAGGGCATCCTGGTGAACAACCTCCCGGACAAGTGGACGTGTCTACACGAGGGCCACACGTGGCACGGCTACGACGTCTCGGGCCACACTTTCCTGCTGACCTTCTGCTGCCTCCTGATGGTGGAGGAGACCTCCGTCTTCCGCCGCTACCTGGCCCAGGGACACCCGGCCGGCGTCCCCTTGCGCCTCATCTTCCTCCTCAACGTCTTCCTCCTCGCCCTGTGGAACTTCCTCCTGGCCTGCACGGTGGTCTACCTCTACGACTACAGCCACAAGGTGGTGGGCGCCGCCATCGCCACCCTCTGCTGGTTCCTCACCTACCGCGGTTGGTACCGGTGGCGCTGGTCTCCCGGCCGGCCGGGAACGGGCCTCTTTGTCAAAGGGACCCCCGGGGAGGCCAAGAAACGGAACTGAGGGCTCCCCACTCCCCCACCCCAGAAGGCAAAGGAGAACAACCAAGGGGTTTCTTCTCCCCCCTAGAGACAAATAAAGATGAGGCCTGCTCTGTTCTCTATTCGTTGTCCTGTGTGTGGTTTTTTTTGGGGGGGGCTTGAAATTCAGACTACCGATGTAAGGTAAAGGGACCCCTGACCATTAGGTCCAGTCGTGGCCGACTCTAGGGTTGCGGCGCTCAGCTCGCTTTATTGGCCGAGGGAGCCGGCGTACAGCTTCTGGGTCATGTGGCCAGCATGACTAAGCCGCTTCTGGCAAACCGGAGCAGCGCACGGAAACGCCGTTTACCTTCCTGCTGGAGCGGTACATATTTATCTATTTGCACTTTGACGTGCATTCGAACTGCTAGGTTGGCAGGAGCAGGGACCGAGCAACGGGAGCTCACCCCGTCACGGGGATTCGAACCGCCGACCTTCTGATCGGCAAGCCCTAGGCTCTGTGGTTTAACCCACAGCGCCACCCACGTCCTCTGTGGTTTAACCCACAGCGCACCCCAACCAATGTAGCGGGTGCTCAAGTTTCAAGACTTAATCCTGTGTGCAGGTGGCAGACCCAAATTGTACCACTTCCCATGATTTGAGTGTTTAAAAGTGTCGTAGAATCGGATGGGACCCCGGGGTCATCTAGTCCAACCCCCTCCAATGCAGGATTTTTTGGGACTCGAACCCACAGCCCTGAGATGTAGGAGTCTCATGTTCTGCTTGACCTATCCCAGCTTTAAATAGTTCCCCCCGTTACATCTAAAATAGTTTTCCTTTTTTTGTATGCTACATGTTTGTTTAGATTTGTTTTTAATACAGTAGTACCTCGGGTTACAGACGCTTCAGGTTACAGACGCTTCAGGTTACCCAGGCTAACCCAGAAATAGTACCTCGGGTTATGAACTTTGCTTCAGGATGAGAACAGAAATGGCGTGGCGTTGGTGCGGCGGCAGCAGGAGGCCCCATTAGCTAAAGTGGTGCTTCAGGTTAAGAACAGTTTCAGGTTCAGAGCAGACCTCCGGAATGAATTAAGTACTTAACCTGAGGTACCACTGTATAGTGTAGAGCAGGAAAGGAAACTGGTGTGTGAGGAGAAAATCTAGGCTCGGGAATAAATTTTGTGCGTGTGAGCATATGTCTTTAATCGGAGTTCTTAATCCTATGCTCTACCACCTCACTGAGGACTAGATCCCTGTCAGCCCTCCATTTCCAGTGTTTCCACTGCACAGTGTATATGATCGAGTAGTTTCTGAGCATATACAGAGTCCCATTTGCTTCCCAGTGATCCAGTTTCCACCATTTTAATAAATGGTGGAAATGCCAGACCTGGAGCGATGCGCTCTGAAAACCACGTCAACCTGCTAAGAGTCTGCCTGTAGACGTGTCTAAAAAGCTGACTTGGCTAAGTTGTACCAATTTCACACAATGCACACACAGCCTGTGGAACTCGGTGTACCAGGATGTTCAGTGTTAGCATAATTGGGCTTTAATTTTTTAAAAAAACCAGCCCGTGATATACATTGTTTTAATGTTGGTGGCTAATGTCCCACAACCGGCTGAAAAGCACAGCCCCTGCTAGTTCAAGACAGCTGTGTTGTTTATCAGAAATCAAGCCTCTCTCTCTCTCCTGCCGGGGAAAAGACACTGGCTGAAAGTGGAAGGTCCCAGCGTGGCAATTTTAAGGCAGCTGATGCTCATTCACAAGCAGAGGGGGAAAGGCAGGTCCTATACCACCACCATAATAATAATAATAATAATAATAATAATAATAATTCTATTCTTTAAATGGGTTGTTTGTTTTCCCTTCCTTGGCCGATTGGATTATCTTGAGTCAGAAATTATACTCCCTGTCAGATGGGCAGGGCATCCTCCTCCTCCTTCTCCAGGCCTAAATACTCCATAGAGTGGCTGTGAGGATAATGGGGTGCAGAAAACCCCCCTAAACTTCATGGAGGCGGGACAAACGCACTCCACAACCTCTCATTTTGAAAAGCAGCAACAGCTGGAAAACACTGCACAAGTTTAGTTCCCGCCTAAAATAACTGCCGCGGACCTGCAGTGAAAACTATTCTACAGACCTGAGTGAAAATATATACAGGTATCCCCCCTGTTGGCCCAGGTGAAACTTACACTACATAACACCCTATCCTCGGGAGGGCAGTGTTGGGCTAGTGGTCGGATCGGGCTTGTGCCAAACGGCCAGAGAAACAGATTCAAATCCCCACCTTCCAGTCCTCCTCTCGGGCTAAGCTACCTCAACAGGGCTGAAGGGTGGAATCAAAGATTGAAAGCAGGAGACAGAAGAACCATGTTTGCCAGCCTGAACCCCTTTGCGGGTGCAATGGGGGTGGTGAGGGTATATGAAAAAGTCATTTTTTGAAAAAGCGGGTTAAAATATATTCCCTCCTGGCATTCTACACGGGATTTGGGGGGGCAACCTTGCCCCCGTTTCATCAGTGCAACCTCTAGGCATAGTTTCTGCCGCCCCACCTCACCCCCGTTTTAAGACATTGCATTAAATATATATGATATTAGCGCCCAGCAAGCATTGGCTTGGCAGTGGCTCGGTAGCATCTCAGGGTTCGACGTGACGACTGTGAACTTCAGGGGTCCACCTGCATGCCTAGCAGATGCTCCAATAATATTATTATAATAATTTTACTATTTACCGGTATACTGTAATAGGAATTTTATGTTACAGATAGGTAGCCGTGTTGGTCTGCCATAGTCAAAACAAAAAAAATTCCTTCCAGTAGCACCTTAAAGACCAACTAAGTTAGTTCTTGGTATGAGCTTTCGTGTGCATGCACACTTCTTCAGATACACACATCTGAAGAAGTGTGCTTGCACACGAAAGCTCATACCAAGAAACTTAGTTGGTCTTTAAGGTGCTACTGGAAGGATTTTTTTTTTGTTAGGAATTTTATGGTCTTAGATATATGGTAATGTTCATAAGTGTACCAACCAAGCACATACATAGATCAGCACAGGAAGGCCAACCTGGAACCATTTTGATTCCTAAACTGAGCAAATCTTTTCTCTGCAAGGTCAAAGTGGAAAAGCCTCCCCATTGTCTTTTCCTTCACAAATCCTGTCTGTGTTTGAATAGGGTGTGAGCCTGTGACCTGGCCCAGGAACTAAGTATTTATCATTACAAAAGACTGGCCAGGCTACCCAGGAAATCCAATCAAGTAACCTGCCAGACAGGAGATAAACAAGACAAAACAACATTCAAATGTTCTGTTTTAGACCGCCTTTTCTGTGATGTAAGTGTGATGTACCTGAGGGGTGGTCTTAGGTTACACCCTTTCTGTGATGTATGTATGATGTTTCTGGGGGTGGTCTTGATCTACAGGGTGGCAATTTCAAAAGTCTTTATAAGGCCTTGCACACCATTTTTTTGGGTCCCTCTTCTCTCCTGCGTGTGAAGGGAGCACCCTGTTGCAACAGATCAATAAAGATCAGGCATACTAGCGGCTTTGCTTCTCAATATCCTCTGGTTGGCCTCTGTTATTCTCTCCTACCAATAGGGAACCTATGTAAGGACTCTATATGGGCTCTTGGATACCCCATAAGGGGAGAAGGGCAGTTTTTGTTTACAACAATACCCCGCCCATCAGGGTGGCTTTCCCCAAAACGAGCCTTCCTGCCAACTGAGTTTCTTTGAACCCCGGGCCGGAGATGCAACAGGCAGCGCTGCTTGAGAAGAAGGAGAAGCTGCCCCTGTTGAATGGCTGCCTGGCGGTCCCTCCCGCGCCTCCCCTCCCAACGTTGGGAAGTCCCTGCCTCCTCCTCCTCCGCGCGGGTTGCATCTCCCCATTTCTCTTCTCCTCCCCTTCCCTTTCATTTTCGCTTTGATGCATGACTTGCCCCGGCCGCTCCCAGCCTCCCGCGCCCTCTTTGCAACTTCGCCTCCCGGGTGTTTTTTAGGGGTTCGGCCCTTCGCTGTTGCAACCCCAAAAAGCCGCCACTCGCCACTCCGGTTTTGCGCAGCCTGAACCCGACGCCATGGCTACTTTGGAGGTTTCCCCGGAGTGCGAGGCGAAGGTAAAGTGGAATAAATTGGGGGGGGTGTCCTGGAGAGGCTGGTGTGTTTGTGGGGGTCTCAGTTTTAGGGGGTGTTTTTTTAAAAGGGGGGACTACAAGAGCAGAGGCAGAATCCGCCCGCAGGAAGCCTCCTGTCGCTTTTCAGAACGCGGCAGGCGGAAATCCAACAGGTTTCCCCCCTCACTTTCGCTTTTTTGCGGGGGAGGCCTGGGAAGGGAGAAAATTCTCAGTTGGGGTTTCTAACCTGCCCTTCTTAGGCAATGACACCTTTGCCCTGTCTAATGGAGACCGGGGGGGGGGCTCTAGGGGGGTTGCCTGAAATGGGGAGCGCAGGGGGGAGAGATTTGGGGGTACTTAAAATCCGAATTGGGAAGGACGTTTGAGTCCTGTCCCGGAACAACACGCAGGACAGCAGCTTTGGAGGAAGGGGAAAGGCAGGTTGGTCTGGATGGGGGTGATTGGCACCTGTGCGGGAACCGGCACCCAGTCTTTTATTTTATTTTTTAATAAATTTGTTATTATATTTTCCACAATGATAACACAAACCACAAAGCAAAATGATACACAAAAACCGAAAAAGGAAAGGGAACAATAAACAGATAAACAATAACAACAAACTTAATTCTTCACCAATCCAACCAATCTTGGTTGACTTCCTCAAATCCCTCCTTCTGAGTTTCCTTGTAATTAAAAGTAACAGCTTTCCAATATCATTATTAAACCAAAACAATTTCCAATGATAGCCCATCTTATTCACTTTCCTGAACATTCTAAATCCCATTTATTTCATTATAACGTCGTTTAATCCTAGGCCGATTTGTTTCTTTCAAGTAATTTCTAATTTTTTTATATTACAATATTTATTCAAATAGTCCTTAAATTTCCCCGGCACCCTGTTTTCTGCCTCGTCAGGCGGCAGACCGAGCGGTGAGGCCAACAGGTGCGCAGGGAGATCGGGTGACGCTGCCCCAGAGGGACTGGCGTGGGGCCCAGACGCCTCTGGCCATTGTCCTGACTGTACATTTTTTTGATCCATAGTTTAATTTTTTTCTCTTTTTCCGCTGTGCAGGTGAACTCCTTCAAGAAGGAGCTGTGTACCCAGGTAAGAGGCTCGCAAGTGTCTTTTTTTTTCTTTACTATTCCCCCCCCCAGCACCCCCAAAACCCTGTGGCTTTTACTACAAAGGCACCCCCAAAGCGTATTCCTTTAGGAAGTGGAATAGGTAAAACTAAACCAAACTGGATCTCTGCCCCAGAGCCTACCTCTCTGCTGACATGGTTGAACCCCTCACTTAGCCCCTGAGCACGTGCAGAGTGCAATTCCCACACGCTTGGGATTTTGGGGGCCACATTCCCGTTTCAAAGTGTGTAACCTCTAGGCAAGTTCTGAGTCCCGCTGCCATATCTTTCATTTTACATTCCATTTTAAAAAAAACATTTTAAATTGATTTTCAGTGGTTTAACATAGAATTAAAGCAGAAGAAGGAGCTAAAACCATCTTTGGTACGTTTCGATTCCCGAACGGTTCTGCTTTGGATTTTGCCACAAAACTGCACAAGATTCTAGTTGCTTTTGAGTAAACAGAGATTAGCCACCATAATATCAGATATAATAAGCTTTGCTGCTAAGATTTTAGGCCTCCACAGAGTGGAGCTGCTTTCTGTGACTCTGCATTTTATTTTATTTTTGACGGTTGTGCGAATGTGCATCTGTTTCCCTCCCCGCTTCTCTTTTAATCTGCCAGAATTTTCATTCCACTTGTCCTCCGATATTTCTCTTGTCTAAGGCCTTTTTCTCACTCCTCCACAATCTCTTATCTTCCCCAAGGCTGAAGAACTTGTTGCCAGACGCTTCCCAGAAAAGATTGTGGAGCTCAGTAATTTTCTCAAGGTAAAAACTTCCTTGCGGGTTTTGGAATGCAGGCAGTGCGGGGGGGTTGCAAGTGGTTTTCTGCATCCAGCATTTAAAAGAAAAATAGGAAATTGCAAAGGGAGTTGTTGCAAATGATCAGCTGAGATTTCCCCCCCAAGATTTGGGAGAAACCAAATGCGATTTTGGACACTACAGAGTTAACGGCTTGGATTGGAACAATGTGAGGGAAGACAAGAAAAAAAATCAGAATGGTGTTCTACAATTTTATGAAGGGGTCAAAACTAATATTTGGAACGGAGGAATGCTTGCTACTGAAAGGCGGGGCTTAAATTGACTCCAGGTTGCAATTCTAGACATGCTTTTGTTGTAAACAAAAAATTGCCCTTGTTCCCTTATGGGGTATCCAAGAGCCAATATAGAGTCCTTACATAGGTTCCCTATTGGTAGGAGAGAATAACAGAGGCCAACCAGAGAATATCGAGAAGCAAAGCCGCTAGTAAGCCTGATCTTTATTGATCTGTTGCAACAGGGTGCTCCCCTCACCCGCAGGAGAGAGGAGGCACCCAGAAAAATGGCGCGCAAGGCCTTATAAAGACTTTTGAAATTGCCACCCTGTAGATCAAGACCACCCCCAGAAAGTTTTGTGAGGAGTATTATTGGAAGTACAGTGGTGCCCCGCAAGACGAATGCCTCGCAAGACGAAAAACTCGCTAGACGAAAGGGTTTTCCGTTTTTTGAGTCGTTCCAGAAGACGAATTTCCCTATGGACTTGCTTCGCAAGACGAAACGTCTTGCGAGTTCTTGCGAGTTTGTTTCCTTTTTCTTAAAGCCGCTAAGCCGTTAATAGCCGCTAAGCCGCTAATAGCCGTGCTTCGCAAGACGAAAAAACCGCAAGACGAAGAGACTCGCGGAACGGATTAATTTCGTCTTGCGAGGCACCACTGTATTGCAAAAATGGAGAAGGGGAAGGATGATTTGTTAAGAGATGTAAAGGCAATATAAAGTTAAGAAATGCATAAGAAGTGGTTGAAAACGGTTGGATCATCAGAGGGACTGATGGAAGTCTAAAAAGATTGTATAAGTGATAAGTTTTGTGGTACATTTTATAATTTATATGTTAAAATCAATAAAAATTATATAATAATAATAATAGTAATATCTAAGGAACACCCCGCTCCAAGACTCGGATATTAGGGGCAGCAACAAGAAGTGGGGAATTGCAAAGCCTGTTCCTTCATCTCTCTCTCTCTCTCCCCCCCCCCCCAGTCCCCCGAACTGAATGTCTCGGACCTGATTTCGCTTCGCGTCGAGTTGGACATCCCTATCCCTGACCCCAAGAAGGACGAGGAGCGTCGCAAGCAGCGGGAGGCGAGTGGGGCAGGGGATTTGGGTCATATCTGTCAACTGTCCCTTATTTGGCGGGAAAGTCCCTTATCCCAGCGCCGTGTCCCGCTGCTGTCCCTTATTGATGATGTCCCTTAAATTTCCCGGGTTTCAAAGGAAGCAGCTCCTCTCCCTCCCTCCCTGCCGGCCAGGGAGGAGGGAGGCTCCAACTGGGTTGCTTGGCTGCGTTGCTCACCCAATAAGGAGTCTAAGAACGACTGGGGGGTGGAGCTTGCATGCCTTGTGCCAATCAAATCGGCCGCGTTGCCTGGGGACTCGCCTTTGCTCAGCGCTTCCCAGCGGAGAGGCGACGGTGGTTTTCCTTGCTGCATCCCCTTTGCCGGGTTCCTGCGCTGTGGGAACCTCCGCTTGAGGCTTCGTTTGGCTGCTGGCTGGGCTTTCTGCCTTTGGCTCGGAGGGGCTCAGAAGTTGAACATACCTGTGCTTGGAAAATCCCTTATTTTGGCTGCTGATCCCGTATTTTCGAGGCTGCTGGTCCCTTGTGTTCAAATCTGTAAGTTGACAGCTATGATTTGGGTTGGGGGTCTGGACCTCGAGATTGTGGGGCAGCAACAGATCAGATCCCGGCAAATCGCAGATTCCCCCCATTTGTGGTCCTACACAGAAGCTCTTTCCATGTGCAGTATTTTTGCCGCGTTCGAAACCTACTGTATTTTTCGCTCTATAAGACGCACCAGACCACAAGACGCAGCTAGTTTTTGGAGGAGGAAAACAAGAAAAAAAATATTCTGAATCCCAGAAGCCAGAACAGCAAGAGGGATCGCTGCGCAGTGAAAGCAGCGATCCCTCTTGCTGTTCTGGCTTCTGGGATAGCTGCGCAGCCTGCATTCGCTCCATAAGACGCACACACATTTCCCCTTACTTTTTAGGAGGGAAAAAGTGAGTCTTATAGAGCAAAAAATACGGTACGTGCCTCAAACCTTTGCCTTCCTGCCTTCGTTTTTCCAAACTCTCCCATTAAAGCTGCTCTCACAACGACCCTGCGAGGCGCATCAACCTCGATCCTTCATCTCCAGAGGTGGCGCAACCTTTCGCCCTAGTTTCACACATCCAGATTATATTTTATTTTTTTGCGCAACTGGACTATCCCAGTTGAGAGGGCGGTTGTGGGTGGGTGACCTCAATATTATGCCTCTCATGTAATTCGTACCTTCCTCTCTTGCCCGGAGGACTGGAAGGAGCCGATCTTAACAGCTGCAATTCCTTCCTTCCTTGCTAAGCAGTGCTTTGAATTTAGTCCTCCCTGCCCCAGGGGCTGTGGGGGTATTTATATCTGTGCCTTCCCCATTCCTTTTGTCACGAAGAGCATAATCTCTAGGTAGATCAACCATCCCTGTAATTACGTTTCTTTGGGTGTCTTCTAGTGTGTGTTAGTGACATCCCCTTTGTTGCTGGGCTTAAATTAAGATTTTTTGCTTCTGCCAACGCTGTCGTTCTCTGTTCAGGCGATCCGAAGGGAAGTTATAATAATTTATAATAATAATAATTTATTATTTGTACCCCGCCCATCTGGCTGGGCTTCCCCAGCCACTCTGGGCAGCTTCCAACAAAATATTAAAATACTGTAATACATCAAACATTACAGTTGGGACATGTTCTTGAGAAAGAGAGGGATATATTTCCTTTTCCCTTTTCTTTCTTCCACCCAAGGAAATCAGTAAACTCTCAGGCAACAGGGAAACAGTTGTGGACTGGCGGGTGACGGGTTCGGATTCCGCAACCTGTGATGGGCTGGAGAAGGACCTTTTCTCTCCGTTCTGTTGCTAAAAAGAAGGAGGAAGTTCAGTTTCTGTGGCCACATTCGCACAATGCACTGTGGTATCACAGCCATGGCTTCCCCCAAAGCATTCTGGGAGTTGTAGTTTGTTTGGGGTTTGTTAAGGGTGCTGAGCGACTCCTGTTTCCCACGCACAGCTGCAATTTCCAGTCCGTTGCTCTACACAAGGAACTCTGGGAATTGTAGTTCTGTGAGGGGAATGGGGTGTGTGTCATCTAACAGCTCTCAGCGCCCTTAGCAGACTACAAATCCCAGAATTCTTTGGGAGGGGAGCCATGACAGTTTGGTACAGCTCTTAACGTGTCAACCTGCAACCTCTGGCGTTTCTTGCAAGGGAATGTAGCCTTCAGGCTGTAAAAAGTCACCCCTCTGTGCTGGGGTAGCTCAGTCAGTGCAGCACGAGTCTCTTAACTTTGGGGTCACGGGTTCGAATCCCGTGCCGGACAAATTATTCCTGCGTCGCAGGGGTATGGACTGGATGACCCTCGGGATCCCTTCCAATGCTTTGTGTACCGGTGGGCGGCTCTCTTTCTGCCTTCCCCTTCTGCATTTTTGTGATCGCGTTCCTTTATTCCCGCGCAGAAAGAAGAGAAGGATTCCAAAAAGGAAGAGAAGGACTCGAAAAAGTTGGAGGATGAGGATAAAGGTACGCAGGATTCTCTGTGACGTCTGGCAAGGAGACGTTTCGAAGCCTTTCCGTGGAAATGGGGTGGTGAAATGAGAGGTGTCCCGCCTTGACTTGTCCCAGCAGGCCGCATTCTGCAATGTTTTACTAGCCAGGCCCCGTCCGCACTGTGCGTTTAAAGCAGTGTCGCCCCACTTTGAACAGCCGCAAAGGATTCTGGGAACTGTAGTTTGTTCAGGGCGCTTAGGAGTCCCCGTTCCCCTTCACAGAGGGGTTTCACGGTCAACCCACCTTCCCAGGGAACTCTGGGAAATAGCAGCTCTCTGAGGGAAATGTTTCTAAATTTATTTTATTCATTAAATTTGCTATTTTATCAAATAGAGGCGGTGGCCTTGGACAATAGGCCTCCGTTGAAAGATGAGCCTAAGGATTAAAAAAAATGTATATATTACAGTATGATGGGAAGGATTGTGTCGATGAACACATTTATTGTGTAAATAATGTTATCTTGTCTTCTTTTGATTTTTTTATTTCGGAGCTTTGTTATTTATTTTTTTCCTTTTCCTTTTTTATTACTTTACAAATTTTCCATTTACTACCTAATTTTCTTTATCTTCATATATAGCACATAATGTTCGTATAGATATGTAAATTTTTAATCAGTAAAGAATAATAATAAAAAGAAAGAAAGACGAGTCTAAGGAAAGATAACTGGATTGTATCCAAGTCAACCCGTTGAAATGAATTGGCATGGCTGACATAGCTTCATTCACTTCAGCAGAGAACTTGGTTGGCCACAAGCCACAGTTACCAGCTGAGCAGGCCTGCCCCCAGTCCCATTTAATTGGCAGAAATTTATTAAAAAATAAATAAAATTCCATTTCTCATGGCAGCCAGCCATCTTGGAAGAGCTCCGCCCGTCCCCATTTCTTTTTTACACAAGGGGAAATGCCTCTTCTGCTACTGCTTGAGAGGGGAGGCCTTCTTTGCATGCTCTCCTCTCTTCTAAGATGGCGTCCGTTGGCATATGTGCCAAGCGCCACCTTGAGGGTGTGATGCCTCTGACGTTCTCCTCCTCTTCCTCCTTCTCCCCCAGCGCCCCCCTGCGGTCCAGTTTGCCACAACGAAAAGATCACCGCCCTGCTGAACCGCGTGAAGCCCGAAATCCAGGGAACGAAGGAGAAGCTGAACTTGGTGAGGGGTTCGGAGGAAACGGGTCTCATTCTCGCCCCTTTACACAACCAGTCCTAGCGCCCTGCTTAGTGTTGCAAGGGACCCCAAGGGTCATCCAGCCTAATAATAATAATAATTGTTAAGTTGTGGGTGAACATATCAGACAACACAGCGATTCTTCAAACAGCTCTTGCTTATTCACAGGCCAGAACAGAACTGAACTGAAGGGTTCAGCTTGCCTGCTTATATAGAGCTCCGCTACAACGTTACTGTAACAACTTTCTAAAACTATCCAATCACTGAACGTCACTTTCAGTCCCTTATTTGCATATGTGGACCTGAACTATTTACAGTATCCCCCTGTTGGCCCAGGGTGAGAACTTCAGTAAATAATAATAATAATAATAATAATAATAATAATAATTTTTATTTATACCCAGCCCTCCCCAGCCAAGGCCAGGTTCAGGGTGGCTAACAAGCAATAATAAAAACAAGTTGAATGAATACAACTTAAAAACAAGATTAAAATACAACATTAAAATATTGAAATATTAAAATGCAGCCTCATCGCTGGAGGAGAAAGAAAAAAGAAAGAGGGGGAGGGAATCAAATTGACTCCAAGCCAAAGGCCAGGCGGAACAACTCTGTCTTACAGGCCCTGCGGAAAGAAATCAGATCCTGCAGGGCCCTGGTCTCATGAGGCAGAGCGTTCCACCAGGCTGGAGCCAGTGTTGAAAAGGCCCTGGCTCTGGTTGAAGCTAATCTAACTTCCTTAGGGCCCGGGACCACTAGGGTGTTGCTATTTATGGACCTTGAGGCTCTCCGTGGGGCATACCGGGAGAGGCGGTCCCATAGGTACGAGGGTCCTAGGCTGTGAAGGGCTTTAAAGGTCAAAACCAGCACCTTAAACCTTAATTATTAAATTAATAATAATTTATTATTTATACTCCGCCCATCTGGCTGGGTTTCTCCAGCCACTCTGGGCGGCTTCCAACAGAATATTAAAATACAATAACCTATTAAACATGAAAAGCTTCCCTAAACAACCCCTTCAATGCAGGAATCTTTTGCCCAGCGACTGAGATTAAGAGTCTAGATAAATTAACAGGAAGGATTCGAAACCTGCGGGATCAGAGATTCTTAGAGGACTGGAGTAAATGTATGAACTATTTGAAAAGTAACTGTGATGAACAGGCCACGCTAGTAGGTCTGCCAGAAGTTTTCTAAGGTGGATTATCTGAAATATTACAAGAAAGACTATGAAAAGAATGATCAGTTAAGGACAATTAAATGCAATATAGAAATTAAAAATGCAGAATAAGTGATAAAGAACGGAAAATCGTCAAGAGGTGTTGACGGAAGTCTAAAACATTGTATAAGATGAGAAGATATGTTGTATGACTGTTGGAATTGATGTGGTAAAAAAATAATAAAAATGTATATATATAAAAAAAGAGATTAAGAGTCTCATTCTCTCTTCCCTCCCTCTCTCCCCAGATCTCGCTGTGGCTACAACTCCTGGTCCCGCGCATTGAGGACGGCAATAATTTCGGGGTTGCAGTCCAGGTGAGTTTTGGCTCACAGGTCTCCCAGCTCTCTCTCTCTCTCTCTCTCTCTCTCTCTCTCTCTCTCTGTGTGTGTGTGTGTGTTTGTTGACAGTGTTGAAACAGGAATAGACAGATCCATGGAGGAGAAGATGGCCAGGGTACCAATAATATAATTATGATGATTCTTCTGAAGACCAGTTTCTGGAAACTGCAGGAGAGGAGAAGGTTCTTGTTTTCGGGTCCCACTTATGGGTCTCACAGAACGGGAATCTGTTTGGCCGCTGTGAGAACAGGATGTTCTGACGTTTGTGTGGCCTAGTGGACTTTTCTTGGCCCAAATGGGATAGTACCTCTAGCCATAGCTGCCAACTTACAGATTTGAAAATCAGGGACCAGCAGCCTCGAAAATAAGGGATCAGCAGCCAAAATAAGGGATTTTAGCCAACCAGCAGCCAAACGAAGCCTCAAGCGGAGGTTCCCACAGCGCAGCAACCCGGCAAAGGGGATGCAGCAAGGAAAACCTCCGTCCCCTCTCCGCTGGGAAGCGCTGAGCAAAGGCGAGTCCCCAGGCAACACGGCCGATTTGATCGGCACAAGGCATGCGAGCTCCACCGCCCAGTCGCTCTTAAGACTCCTTATTGGGTGAGCAACGCAGCCAAGCAACCCAGTTGGAGCCTCCCTCCTCCCTGGCCGGCAGGGAGGGAGGGAGAGGAGCTGCTTCCTTTGAAACCCGGGAAATTTAAGGGGCATCATCAATAAGGGACAGCAGCGGGACACAGTGCTGGGATAAGGGACTTTCCTGCCAAATAAGGGACGGTTGACCGCTATGCCTCTAGCCCATCTCGCAACTCCTCAGTGTTACACAGCCAGGTCTTGGTTTTAGTACGGGCACACTGGTGTATAGCTATGGAAAGGGGTTTTTGGTGGCAGACCTCAGCAGTGCTGCCCCAAATGATTTAATAATAATAATAATACATTTTATTTATACCCCGCCCTCCCCAGCCAAGACTGGGCTCAGGGCGGCTAACACCAAATATAAAAACAATTGATTGAAATACAGCTTTAAAAAACAAGATTAAAATACAACATTAAAATGTTAAAATGCAGCCTCATTTCAGTGGAAACTCAATCAAAGTTCCCTCTAAACCAGATTTGGGGCCCTGGATTGCATTGTGCCATTCGGACTCTTTTTGACACACCTGATTCGTAAGTCCAGAAAAAGAGAGAGCGCAAAAGAGACCCTGCCGTCCTTCGGCTCTGCTTCCACCCACCACTGGCTTTGACTCTACCTGCTAGGGAGTACAGCCCCCAAATGATTTTCCTTCATAGGAAAAAAAATGCTCCCAGCTCATCTTCTGCACTATCAAGAGAGCTGGAGTTTGGTGCACCACGTACCCCAAGAGATCAGTGGGAGAATCTGAAAGCGGTGGTGTGTGCCACCGAGCATGTGCAGAGTGCATTGCCCTCCTCCTCCGTTAACAGCAGCTACACCCGGGATTAATGTGCCATTGAGAGCGTGCTCACTTATGGCTTATGTGTGTGGTACGGAAGCTGTACTACCCAGGACAGGATGGGGTTGTGCAGAGTTGTTAAGGCAGCAGAGAGCATTGTTGGCTGCCCACTCTCCACCTTAGAGCAGATTTATGCCACAAGGTGCCATAGGAAGGCACTGGACATAGTAAAAGATCCATCGCATCCTGGTCACTGTCTCTTCGAGCTCCTGCCGTCGGGACGGAGATACAGGACGATGAAGACAAGAACAAGCCGTCTTAAGAACAGCTTCTTCTCCAGAGCGATCTCGGCCCTGAATGGGAAGCCTGGACTTTGAAAGTCATCTAATCTTCCTTGCTGTATTATACTGTATTGTTTTAATTAGTGTTTTTATAGTGTTTTATAGTGTTTTTATAGTGTTTTGATTTTGTGTGGAGTGCCCTACCTGGGTGGATGGAGCAGCCAAGTAATTTTGTTGTCCCCGAGAGGGGGCAATGACAATAAAGATATTATTATTATTATTATTATTATTATTATTATTATTAAGAAGAGCCGCTTTCCTAGCAGAGATGTCACGCAGACGTTCAATCTGTTTGGGGCCGAGAAATTATTACTGTTCAGCCAAGACTTCCTCGCCATGTTTCCCGTTCCGTTTTCCTTGGACCCTGTCATCACATTGAGAACTTCCTGCGTTATAACCTTCGTCTTTCTCTCCTCTTCCAGGAAAAAGTGTACGAACTGCTGACCTCGGCTCGGACAAAGCTGGAAACTTTCCAGACTCAGATTGCCAAGTGAGTCTGAAATCGGAGGCAGAGCACTTCCAACTTCCCCTTTTCTCTATACAGTGGTACCTCGGGTTAAGTACTTAATTCGTTCTGGAGGTCTGTTCTTAACCTGAAACTGTTCTTAACCTGAAGCACCACTTTAGCTAATGGGGCCTCCTGCTGCCGCCGCGCGATTTCTGTTCTCATCCTGAAGCAAAGTTCTTAACCCGAGGTACTATTTCTGGGGTAGCAGAGTCTGTAACCTGAAGCGTATGTAACCCGAGGTACCACTGTATTTGGTTTAAAAGGAAAAAAATACTGAGGAAGAGGAAAATTCGGTGAATTTTCTCCAAAGAGCTCCTCACTTAACCCCCCACAACAAACCTGCGAGGCTGAGAGGCTATGACTAGCCCAAGTTCACCCTGTGAGCTTCATGGCTGTGTGGAGATTCAAACTCTGGTCTCCCAGGTCCTGGTCAGACACTCTAACCCAGGCATCCTCAACCTCGGCCCTCCAGATGTTTTGGGCCTACAACTCCCATCATCCCTAGCTAACAGGACCAGTGGTCAGGGATGATGGGAATTGTAGTCTCGAAACATCTGGAGGGCCGAGGTTGAGGAAGCCTGCTCCAACCACAACACCACACAGGCTGCTGGTGCTTGTCTGAAGTTTTGGACTACAAAACTTGTCCAGTAGCCTAGGACAAGGAAGGCGAGAATACAACATACCGTCATCCACGCGGTGGCAAAATTCACAGCTGCAGAACATTCTTAATGCTTTTTTAAAATGCTTTTAAAACAAGGGTAGACGATACGATACGATAATCTTTATTGTCATTGTCCCATACAGAACAACAAAATTGAAAAAATCTACATCAGATAGCCGCCTGCTATCCCAGCTATCCCAGCCTGGTTAGCCCCCTAAAAACTCTGATACCCCATAATTAAATACAATATACTCCCATAGAGCCCTGGCGTGCTCTGGTCCATGGGGTCACGAAGAGTCGGACACGACTAAACTACAACAACAACTCCCATAGAGACCACCTTACACTGCTTTTAAAACCAAAATCACATTTGAATGGAACCTGTTTCTCAGGCGGCTAGTCCTAGTCTTTATAACCCTGTCCCTTCTTCCAGAAGGCAGAAGCTGAAAGAGATCATTTCCGGGGTGCGCACTATCCTGCGCCATCTCTGCAGCTTTCTTATGGCACCTGGAAGTATAGATTTGATCCAAGGTGGGAAGAGTGCACCCAATTATTCTCTCCGCAGTCTTTACAACCCTGGACAGCATTGTATTTTCCCTGACCGTGCAGCTCCCAAACCACACACCAGACCATAGAACATAGAATGTTGTACTTCCTATATGTTTCAGGCTGAAACTCCCCTCACATCCTAGACCTGAGAGGGACTGATTTATTTCTTTATTATCATCATGAAGGGGACAGATTGATTCCCCTAAGAGAAAAGGTTGCAGCATTTGGGGTCTTTTAAAGTTTAAGCAAAATGTAAGAGATGGCTTGTAAGATTATGCATGGGATACAAAAAGTAGATAGGGGGGAAATTGCCCTCCCCCCCCCCAATTTGGCTAGAAATCTTGGACAGCCAATCAAGCTGAGTGTTGGAAGTTTGGGGGCAGATTAAAGAAAGGACTTATTCACACAGGATGTTGTGAAACTGCGGAACTCCCTGCCACATGAATCAACGATGGCTGCCAAAATGGATGGCTTAAAAAGGGGATTGGACAAATTGATGGATCCACCAAGTTCTCATTAGCTTCTTATTGAACAGCATTTCTATAGTGCTCGGTTGTAGTAAAACCTCTGAGCATATTGTAATAAATAATAAGATTATCAATTGAAAGCAGGCCACACAGGTCAGCGGCCTGGGCCAGCTAAAGAGGCTCGCTGAGGGAACTCATTTTACTGCTGAGGCAAGTTGGTTTCCTACTTCCCTCCCCCATCTGATGAATGGAGAGACGCTTCAGAAGAAACTAATTCCTCTTCCACGCAGCTTAAGCTCCCTGACCCGAGATCCAAAGATTGCACAGGTCCCTCCCAGGTGAATCAGGTCCTCTAAGCAACAGCCGGTCCTTAAGGAGGTGCTTGTGGGGAGGAGAAGAGGAGGCAGCTCTTTCCATCTCACACACAGGGCTTCACAAAGGGCGAAAATTCATCCTTTTGCTAGTTACCGTATTTTTCGCTCTATAAGACGCACCAGACCACAAGACGCACCTAGTTTTTGGAGGAGGAAAACAAGAAAAAAAATATTCTGAATCCCAGAAGCCAGAACAGCAAGAGGGATCGCTGCGCAGTGAAAGCAGCAATCCCTCTTGCTGTTCTGGCTTCTGAGATAGCTGCGCAGCCTGCATTCGCTCCATAAGACGCACACACATTTCCTCCTAAAAAGTGAGGGAAAAAGTGAGTCTTATAGAGCAAAAAATACAGTATTTTATGGCACTGCGTGTGTGTGTGTGTGTGCGCGCGCGCGCGTGCGTGTTGTGATGGGGAAAGCTTCACATGTTGGATTTCTGCCTGCTCCTCCGGAAGACGGGGAAGCTGTGCCGGAAAACGAGGCGGCATCTTGGCTGCTCTTGCCGGGCCTAAAACGCTGGCCTTGTTTTGCTATGTATAAAATGACCGAAATGTTCAGATGAAGCCACCTTCATCTGTTTGCCGGGGTCTTACGCAGAGACCTTTCCCGTCTTCTGATGTTCCTTTCAACTGGAGATGTTGAGGACTGAATTGGGGGCCATCTGCCCTGCTCCTAGTTGGCAGTATGTTAAGGCTGCTGGGAATTGTAGTGCTCCGAGGGGTACACTATAGTTCCCTGGTGGTTGGGGGGGTGGAGAGAGATTGTGATTTAAATGTAAGGTGTATTGGATGCAGCTAATTGCTGTGGATCTGAGCAGCTTTCTGGCAGTTGGGCAGAGAAAGCAAAGGTGAACTCAGCCTGTAAATGTGGGAGCGGCGCAAGAACTCGCACTGTGGACTTTGCATGGGTGCCCTGAATTGGTTGGTTGCTCAGCAGGGGTGTGAGCGAGCATGGAGAGCGTGGATGCAAACACACCCAGAACTCGTTAATTCAAAAAGTAGGTCACAAGGCTGCGGAAATCCTTGCAATGCATAATTGAGGTTTTTCGTTTGAGACCCGAGAAGCAACAGAAATCTTTCAGTGCTCCGTAGCATGCCAATTTGAAAAGTTTTAATTGAAAGTTTCCACCTGTTTGGCTTTCCACCACCCTCGCTAACTTTCTCTCCTCCCCCAAACCTTTTCACGGGTGCCACCTCCCTCTCACACACACCTGGAGCTGTGCGCTTCAACACCACAGGGAAACAGGTGTATAAACAGGTGTTTCAGATCATTGGTTTTTGGAAAAAGGTGCTGTGATGGAAAATTGCACCAAGTTGTCGGGGGGGGGAGGGATTTTGGTCAGTCCATTTGCGTTTCTTGTCCTGGGGGGGTTGGGTGTTTTTTTTTTTGGCATGTACATGTTAATTTCGAATGGGTATAATTTTTTCACCCCAAAAAGTCCTTCTGATTCCTGTCGCCCCGCCATTCTTTGTTACCTCTAAAAAGGGAATCATGAATTTCCCTTGTGTGCCCTTTCTCTGCAAATTCTCTTCGTTCCATCCGCCGATTTATCTTAGCAAATTGGAAAGCGGCGGTTTTGCCTTGGGGAGGCGAGGTTGCCCTGAGCTTGCGATTTTGGGAGATTGATAGCATATGACCTAGAAAGGCCTGAGGATCAGGACGGGGAGGACTTAAAGGAGACCTGAAAAGTGATCCGGGCTTCAGGGCAGGGAAGGTGATCTGTGAAATTTGGCCTCTCTTGCAGTTGGTCAGTTCCGGGGTGGGGGGTGGAGATTTCCTACTGCGCTCATAAGGCAGTAAATTGAAATTTACTACCGTCGGTGAATCGAAAGCCACCGTTAACAGCCTCTCTGATCAAACAAAAGTGGGTGACTCTTTCTGCATCTTTGGAGCAAACCCCCCCCCAAACCATCCCACCCCAAACCATGAGATACTTCTGAAGAATAGTTGCTGGAAACTGCAATAACCATAGTCCACAGCAAGCAGGGGTAGGGTGGGGATAAGCTTTTGGGCCGCTGGCCAGATCCAGTTCTCTCTTGGGTCGGCACTGCAAGCAACAGGTGTGGAGGATTACACAGGTCAAGGGGGTGTGTTTGGGTCTCTCCTCTGCTACAGACCCCCAATAGGTAAAGGTAAAGGGACCCCTGACCCTTAGGTCCAGTCGTGGCCGACTCTGGGGTTGTGGCGCTCATCTCGCTTTATTGGCCGAGGGAGCTCGCGTACATCTTCCAGGTCATGTGGCCAGCATGACTAAGTCGCTTCTGGCGAACCAGAGCAGCGCACGGAAACGCTGATTACCTTCCCGCCGGAGCGGTACCTATTTATCTACTTGCACTTTGACGTGCTTTTGAACTGCTAGGTTGGCAGGAGCAGGGACCAAGCAACGGGAGCTCACCCTGTCACGGGGATTCGAACCACCGACCTTCTGATCAGCAAGTCCTAGGCTCTGTGGTTTAACCCACAGCGCCACCCGCGTCTCTGACCCCCCCCCCCCATAGCTGTCCTCTAAACTCCCCAGAGTGTTCAGGTGATCTGAGCGCAGGGCCACAAACGCAGTCTCAACCGTAAGAGCCTCTCCGTTTGCTTCCTGCCATGCAACAGCCTGCCAAATACCTAAAGGTCATAGAATCACGGAATGGTTGCGAGGGAAGGGGGACCCTTGGGTTCATCTAGTCCAACCCCCTGCGATGCAGGAATCTCAACTAAAGCATCCAGGATGGGTGACCATCCAAACTCTCCTGAAAAGCCTCGAAGGAAAGAGAATCCACCATTTTCCAAGCGAGTCTGTTCCACTGTCGGAACGGCTCTTACTGTCAGAAAGTTCTTCCAGATGTTAAGTCAGAATCTCCTTCCTTGTCACTTGAGAGCCAGTGTGGTGTAGTGGTTAAGAGTGGTAGATTCATAATCTGGGGAACCGGGTTCGCGTCTCCGCTCCTCCACATGCAGCTGCTGGGTGACCTTGGGCCAGTCACGCTTCTCTGAAGTCTCTCAGCCCCACTCACCTCACAGAGTGTTTGTTGTGGGGGAGGAAATGAAAGGAGAATGTTAGCCTATTTGAGACTCCTTAGGGTAGTGATAAAGCGGGATATCAAATCCAAACTCTTATTCTTTGTTCTGCCCGGACACTGAGGTCCAGCGCCAAGGGCCCTCTGGCGGTTCCCTCACTGCGAGAAGCCAAGTTACAGGGAACCAGGCCGAGGGCCTTCTCGGTAGTGGCACCTGCCCTGTGGAACACCCTCCCATCAGATGTCAAAGAGAAAAATAACTGCCAAACTTTTAGAAGACATCTAAAGGCAGCCCTGTTTAGGGAAGCTTTTAATGTTCAATAGGTTATTGTATTTTAGTGTTTTGTTGGAAGCCACCCAGAGTGGCTGGGGAAACCCAGCCAGATGGGCGGGGTATAAATAATAATTTTTATTATTATTATTATTATTATTATTATTATTATTGACATTGGTTTTAGTCCTAGCCTTGAGAGAGACCTTTATGATCTGTATCAACTCATTCCTGCTCTGCCTCCTTTCTGTTTCCCAGGTATTACTCTGAACGGGGCGACGCAGTGTCAAAGGCAGCCAAAAGTCCACACGTGGTAAGTTCCTTCCTGCTTTAGTCATGTGGCAGGAACAGCTCAAGGGTTATGTAACGTGGGAAGAGGCCGTTGGGATCTGGCCAATGCCCCATCTAGTCCAGTCTCGTGTCCTCACAGTAGCCTGCGGGAGACCCTGGGCAGGACCTGAGCACGAAGAACGCCCTCTCCCTCCTCGCTACTGGTATTTGGGAATGTTCTCTGAATCTCTTCGTGTTGACTTTCCCTCCTGTCGCTCGCAGGGCGACTACCGCCAACTCGTGCACGAAATCGACGAGGCGGAATATGCCGAAATCCGATACATGATCAACGAGCTGAGAAACATCTATGTGAGTGGTGGCGCTACGGGGCTATGGGGCAAAGGGGAGCATCTGTGTTGCTGCTGGGCTTTTTGCCATCCGTATCCAAGGAGTAAGCAGAGCAACGATGCACAGGAACATGAATGTGCAACACTCGATTCATTGCGTTGTACAGGCTGACTCACGATAGGCGAGTAGGCACCAGCTAGCCTGCTCTCCACGTAACCTGTCTCCATCAAAAAGTCTGGGCAGGCTTCAGCACAAATAGTTCCAACCCCCTTCTTGTGCTCATCTCCCATGGTAAAAAGGTAAAGGGACCGCTGACCATTAGGTCCAGTCGTGGCCGACTCTGGGGTTGAGGCGCTCATCTCACTTTACTGGCCGAGGGAGCCGGCGTACAGCTTCTGGATCATGTGGCCAGCATGACTAAGCCGCTTCTGGTGAACCAGAGCAGCGCATGGAAACGCCATTTACCTTCCCACCAGAGCGGTACCTATTTATCTACTTGCACTTTGATGTGCTTTTGAACTGCTAGGTTGGCAAGAGCAGGGACCGAGCAACGGGAGCTCACTCCGTCGTGGGGATTCAAACCGCCGACCTTCTGATCGGCAAGTCCTAGGCTCTGTGGTTTAACCCACAGCGCCACCCGCGTCCCATGGACGACAAATCACATTTCTTTAAAAAGACAGGCGTATCCTGTGACTCTGAGTTCCAGAGGTTAACAGCACCTCCGATGAAGTTGTGCTCCTGTTTGCTCTGTGTTAAGGTTCTGCAGTGGCTAACTTTTGAGTTAATGGTAATTTGAGTCTAGCGATTTATTTACAAACACGGAATTGCAATACAGTGGACCCTCTAGTTATGTACTGCTCTGGATACGTAACTTTTGGGTTACGAACGTGGCAAACCCGGAAGTCTATAGTTCCGTGTTTCGCCATGTGCGCATTCAGAAGCGCTCAATTGTGCCATGCGCAGAAGCGGCACCTCTGCCTACGGACTTTTCGGGCTGTGGATGGACCCCCGAAACAAATTTAATTCGTATGCAGAGGGTCCACTGTATAGCAAATTCCTGTTGCACCTGCTTTCCTGGATCCGGAGAATGTGCTAGTGGGGAAGGAGTTTTTGGGTGGGCGTGCTCAAATGTCTACCTCCTCCTCAGCTTCATGTAGCTGCTCCTTAGTTTTACGCGCCTCATGCGGCTGAAGTAGGCTGTTCGCCCCCCACCCCCAAATACTAGGTTTCAAAATATCTCTCTTTCTTTGCCCTTCCTAGGCTGTGGTCTATGACATCACCCTGAAGAACTACGAGAAGATTAAGAAGCCTCGCGATGACAACAAAGGAATGATTTACTAAGCCAACTCACCAGGATCAGGCTGGAAGAAGAAAAAACAACAACTCCTTTCACCAAGAACAGCCTTGATTTCAGACAAGCTGTTCTGGGTTTGTTGTTTTTTTAAATGCTCTAAATGATATCCAGTTAACTGGAACCAACCAGCTGCCAACCAGCTTCATTCACTTTCGAAATAAAGAGGTTTTCAAATTTGACAAGTGGTGGTTTTTTTTAATTTATTATGTTATGAAACTAAATAAATGCAGCAACGACTTTTCATCTCCTACAAGTGCAGGATCTCTCAAAGGGGGTGGGGATAAATCCAGGTCTGTATCTAGAAGCAACATGTTTCCAAAATTATCAATTGGACACAAAAAAAAGAAGGTTTGAGTCCTCCCCCCCCCCTTTTTTTTTTTTTGCACAACCGTGAATGGTTTTGGCCAGGTCCTTTTCTGCAGGAATTTCAAAAATCCCACCAGCTGCAAATCCAGTTTCTTTGCAGCCGTCTCGGAAACAGTCTGAGATTAGCCTCTGATCATCCGACGGCCCTTCTCTTAACTGCTGCGGATGAGCTATGATTCCTTCACGCACTGCCATTGGCCACTGATACCAACTGGGCAATTTTTGTGTTCAGCTGCTGATTGGTCCAGTCCTCTCTGATGTCGTCCAGGTGGGCATCAAAATCCACCAACTGGGAATAAGCTTTGTCTTCTAGGAGGGTCTTGCAGATGTGGCGAGAGGATTCCCAGTCGCTCCACATGACCCTAGAAACCAGCAGAAGAAGAGCATTAAAAATCTGTAGGGCTCGATACAGACAATTCTCTCTCACTGATGCTTCGGGTAAAGAGCTGAGGAGAGCCAGTGTCTTTGCACAGACAGTCGGTGAGATCCTGTCCCACCTCTGCCAACGATTCCTCCTCTGGACTTGGGCATGTCACTGTCCCTGCAAGCTCATTCCCAAATTGTAAGGTGGAAATAATAGCAACCATCTTGTTTTGGGAGGGGAAATGCAAACCGAATTGGTGATGGTAAAGGTAAAGGTACCCCTGCCCGTACGGGCCAGTCTTGACAGACCTAGGGTTGTGCGCCCATCTCACTTAGAGGCCGGGGGCCAGCGCTGTCCGGAGACACTTCCGGGTCACGTGGCCAGCGTGACAAAGCTGCATCTGGCGAGCCAGCGCAGCACACGGAAACGCCGTTTACCTTCCCGCCAGTAAGCGGTCCCTATTTATCTACTTGCACCCAGGGGTGCTTTCGAACTGCTAGGTTGGCAGGCGCTGGGACTGAGCAACGGGAGCACACCCCGCCGCGGGGATTCGAACCGCCGACCTTTCAATCGGCAAGCCCTAGGTGCTGAGGCTTTTACCCACAGCGCCACCCGCGTCCCGAAATGGTGATGAGGTTTTTGCAAAAAAGGGAAATTGCAGGCAGCGGTTAACTCACAGGTTCTTGTCTTTGGGGATCCATTGCCGATCCTTCTGCTCCAGAACGATCACCGGAGGGACCCGGGGGTTTATCGTGAACTTGCGGTTATCCAACTGGGGGGAGTAAGCAGATGGCGAAAGCAGTCAGGTTTCTGTAGTTCTGGGGAGAGGCACCCCTGCCTTGTCTTTAAGTAAAGCTAGGTGGTAAGAGGCAGGATGTGAAAGGAGTGCTGGATACAGACGGAAAAGTCTAGAAATTTTGAAAGGGGCATCTGGTGTGGGGGGGGGGACACACACAGATTTCCCACCTCTGCCCTACATAGTCCAGACCCAGTTGGCCCCGATCCCAGCTCTCACCATGATAAGAACGGCACCCTCATATAGTTCAGCAATGCGTCCGACAGTCTTTTGTGCGAGGAAAGAAGCGCTTCGGGGGAACACAGAAAGGAGGGAGAGAACAGGTTAAAGGAGGAGAGATGCCTCTAACCAGCACGTTTCCGAGCACAATTCAAAGTGTTGGTGCTGATCTTGAAAGCCCTAAACGGCCTCAAAGGCCCAGTAGACCTGAAGGAGCGTCCCCACCCCCATCGTTCAGCCCAGACACAGAGGTCCAGCTCCGAGGGCCTTCTGGCGGTTCCCTCACTGCGAGAAGTGCAGCTACAGGGAACCGGGCAGAGGGCCTTCTCGGTGGTGGCGCCCGCCCTGTGGAATGCCCTCCCATCAGATGTCAAGGAAATAAACAGCTATGACTTTTGGAAGACATCTGAAGACAGTTCTGTTTAGGGAAGTTTATAATTGGTGTTTTATCGTGTTGGGAGCCGCCCAGAGTGGCTGGGGAGGCCTGGCCAGATGGACAGGGTGTAACTAATTACCGTATTTTTCGCTCTATAACACGCACCAGACCATAACACGCACGTAGTTTTTAGAGGAGGAAAACAAGGAAAAAAAATTCTAAACGAAATAGTGGATATATGATTTTTGTGGTTCATGCTGTGGCCACATGTGATCTGACATTGAGTTTGGAGTAGCCCAATGCAGAAATCCTCAGGATCCATGTGGATCCATGCTTTGTAACCACGGAGGAGAGAAGGAAGGGGAACCATGGATCCTCTGCTCACGACTGCAGCAGATCCCCCCCGCCACCCGCAGGCATTCGCTCCATAACACGCACAGACATTCCCCCTTACTTTCTAGGAGGAAAAAAGTGAGTGTTATGGTGCAAAAAATACGGTAATAACTAATAAACGAAACTCTGCTCCCCAGATTTACCTCTTGTCGTCCAGCCCAGAGTTGGCTTGGTAATAGCCAGCAAGGAGCAAGTTCAGCTCCGAACTCCAGATGTCAACCTGCAAAAGACATATAAATTCATAGGAACACGGGAAGCTGTTCAAATCATTGGGGTCCACCTAGCACAATTAATGGACCTAAGGTAACTCTGTCCTTTCATTTCAATGGATCTGTTCCAAGAATGAGTAGCACTCTGGTACTTTGCTTTTAATTAGCTAACATCCCATTTAAGCATTGTGCATATTGCACCATTCTATAAAGGTACAAATTGGGACCTGGGGGAAAAGGGGATTGCATCTCCTATAAGTGCAAGACACCTTTTGCTTCTAAGAATAAACAGTTGCTTTTGTCTCTTGCAACCCTCTTTGATTCTCTCTTTTTTCATCTGAGCTAGAACTACTCATTGCAGACCTGAGATTCAATCGCTTTTTTAAAAAATTGCCCTGAAAGGCAAGATGGAAAGAAAAAAGAAGCCAGTTCTATGACCTTACATCATAAAAAGGTAAAGGGACCCCTGACCGTTAGGTCCCGTTGCGGACGACTCTAGGGTTGCAGCGCTCATCTCGCTTTACTGGCCGAGGGAGCTGGCGTACAGCTTCCGGGTCATGTGGCCAGCATGACTAAGCCGCTTCTGGCGAAACCAGAGCAGCGCACGGAAACGCCGTTTACCTTCCCGCCAGAGTGGTACCTATTTATCTACTTGCACTTTGACGTGCTTTCGAACTGCTAGGTTGGCAGGAGCTGGGACCGAGCAACGGGAGCTCACCCCGTCGCGGGGATTCGAACCGCCGACCTTCTGATCGGCAAGTCCTAGGCTCTGTGGTTTAACCCACAGTGCCACCCGCGTCCCTACCTTACATCATACCCACCAGTTAATGATTTTTTTTTGGGGGGGGGAGATATTTAGTGTGAGGTTACACTGGAGGGGGGGGGGAGAGGGAGAGACCTATGGCCTTCTAGTGTTGCTAGGTTCAACACCCGCCAGTCCGAGCCAGCATGGCTTCTGATCAGGAATGAGGGGAGTTGTAACCCAGAAAATCTGGACAAATAGAGGTTCCCGACCCCTGGGTTGCCCGGTTGGTTCATTCCTTGGTTAAAGTGGCCTGCTGGTCCCCCCTCTGCTATCTGCGTCCCTCCAAGGCATACCTGATTCAGAGCCACCTCCAGCATGACCGTGAGCGACAGGTGGTTGTGGAAGAGGGGGATGCAGTCTGTAATACAGAGGCATTCTGGCTGGCTGGCTGTTGCCTGGCGTCTCTGAGCCAAAAGCAGCCCGTTGACAGCGGCGTGGGGGTAGCGGGCAGCATGGAGACACATCTTGACATACGCCCGGGCAGAGATCTCCACTTCACCCATCCTGCCAAGCAAAGGAGCCGTCAGTTCCGCATCCTGAAAAACAGGTGCTCCCTAATAACCATTATCCCAGAAACTTTTTTTCTCCATTCATTGCCTTCTCCCACAATATCTGAGGATCTCATTTACCCTTCCTTCAGCTTGACAACAGCTCCCTGCTACCCGCAACATCCAGATCCTGCCCCTCCCCAGTCATCTCCCATCCACACACCCCAATGCCCTCCCAAACCCCGATATTTCTTCCACGCAGAGGGCAGGGGCCTGTACCTTTCAGAAAAGCCTAGTGGAAGTTCTGGCAAACGCAACATGTCACACACACAAGTGCTGGAGGAAAAGTGGGAGGCTGGGGAGGGCAAGCTCCCTCTGCCACAAAATGATGTCAACCTGGAGAAGACAGACCTGATAATTGGCTGTGCTGCCTGGAGTTGATATAGAGCCTCAGCAACACCTGGGGGCCACAGAGACTCTCCACCTGTGCCCCCCTGAAATCTCTGACAAAGGCATCCTGATGCAAGTGAGAACCCCAGCTGCTGTTGTACTACTACAACTCTCATCATCCCTGAGCACTGGCCCTGCTAGCCAAGGATGATGGGAGTTATAGTCCAACAACAGCTGGGGACCCAAGCTTGAGAGTGTCAGACTGCGACCTAGAGCAGAGCTTTCCAAACTGCGTGTCACGACACGTCAATGTGTCAGCTGCAGTGCGTAGGTGTGTGTTGTGCAAACGCAACACACCTATACATCGTGCTCCTCCCGGGGCTGGAAAGGGGTTAGTTGAACCTCTGGTTTGCTGGTAAAACTGAATCGCTGTTTCGCGAAATGATGTGCGTCTAAATACATGAAAAGTTTGGAAAGCTCTGACCATGCAACTCGCTGGAGGCCGGTCCTTGCCTCTCAGCCTAGCCTGCCATGCAGGGCTGTTGTGGGGATTAAATGGGGGTGGGGGAGAAGTATCATATCCACCACATTGAGCCCCTTGGAGTAAAAGTGCGGTAAAAGTTAAAGGGACCCCTGACCATTAGGTCCAGTCGTGACCGACTCTGGTGTTGCGGCACTCATCTCGCTTTACTGGCCGAGGGAGCCGGTGTACAGCTTCCGGGTCATGTGGTCAGCATGACTAAGCCGCTTCTGGTGAACCACAGCAGCACACGGAAACGCCATTTACCTTCCCGCCGGAGTGGTACCTATTTATCTACTTGCACTTCATGCTTTCCAACTGCTAGGTTGGCAGGAGCAGGGACCGAGCAATGGGAGCTCACCCTGTCGCGGGGGTTCGAACTACCAACCTTCTGATCGGCACGCCCTAGGCTCTGTGGTTTAACCCACAGCGCCGCCCGCGTCCCATAAAAGTGGGGCATAAATGCAATAATCCGAATAATGATGATCACTGAGCCTGTGTCGTCGGTCTCCACTGCTCCCTCTGCCCCAGCCTCCTAAGCTGTGTCTCTGGGGGTCCGGGGCCTGACCCTGCCCTGCTCCCCTCAGCAGCCCCATAACCCCCAGGCCCCCTTCTCGGAGTGCCCTCCACCCCTGCGCAGCTTCCCTCCAGCCCCGACCCCTGAGCCCCACTTCCCCAGGGCTGCCCCTCAGACTGCGAGGAGGCTCGGAGGAATGAAGTGTGGGGAGGAAGGCGACCCCTGGGAGGGCGCCCCCCCCTGCGCCCCCCACCAGCCCCGCGAGCCCCTCTTCACCCACCTTTCCATGCCTGCCCAGGCGGTTGCTGCTCAAAGACCCCCTCCTACAACACCCCATCCATTCCAAGCTCCCCCATTGGCCGCGCCCGCGACCAATCACCGCGCGCTCTTCGCCTACGTCCACTTCTACGCTTCCGATTGGTCGCCGCCCTCGGGCGAGTGCGTTCCCATTGGCCAGGTCTTTTCCTGAATTAGGAGGGGGGAGCCACACTACTAAACTAAACTCCTCCCACTCGGCGTCTTGTGAAATCAGCCGGCTTCCTTCCCCCACAGCAGCCTTATAGGGCGCTTCCGGTCTCGTGTCGAACTAGGCCTCTCCCGCCTTTCGGCAACTCGCGCCTCTATGGTTCCGCCCTCTCCCGTGATTTCCAATGCAGAGGGGCTGCCAACCACAGAGTTGCCACGGTTTCTAGAGCGTCGCCGTTCCTCGCCCATAGAGATGCCCAATGGCGGCTTTCAGCGTTTACCAGAAACTCTGTTTGTTCCTCTCTAGGCTTTTGCTGGCTTCAGTGATCTCGCTTTCCCAGGATCATAAAATAATATGCTAGAGTGGTTCCTGCACTCCCCAAACCCGGAAGTTGGACATAAAGTAGTATTCTCTGGTGGAACGCTCTGTCACAAGAGACTAGGGCCCTGCGGGACTTGACATCCTTCCGCAGGGCCTGCAAGACAGAGCTGTTCCACCAGGCCTTTGGCCAAGGCACAGCCTGACTCCCTCCCTCGGCAATCTTTGCGGAGCTCTGGCCCAATGGTTGCCAGTGGCTTGAATTAATTAATTTTTATAATGAATGATTTTAGAATGTTGTTTATGTTGTACTTTTGTACTGTTTTATTGTTGTTAGCCGCCCTGAGCCCGGCTTCGGCTGGGGAGGGCGGGATATAAATAAAATTTATTATTATTATTATTAGCCTAAAATATATTATAGGGGGTCACATACAAAGCTGCCTCTCCCCCCCCATCCCTATAGACAGCCTATGCCTTTAATAGTACACAGTTAGAAACTCAACAGATGCAGCTTTCCCATCAGTACCACCAAACTAGGAAAAGCTGCACCTGCTGAGTTTCTAGCAGCTCCTAGAGAAATACTGATGGTTACATGGGAGCCGGTTGAAGTTAAATCCTTCGAAGACAGAGGTCCTGTGGCTGGATCAGGACGATATGGGATTGAGGGGGCAACTCCCATCTCTTGTGGGGGTGCAGTTAGTGCCAGCACCGTCTGTTAAGAGTTTGGGTGTAATCTTCGATACCTCCCTTTCCATGGAGCAGATTGCAGCTATAACAAAGGCAGCATTTTTTCATCTCTACCAAGCTAAGCAGTTGGCTCCTTACCTCTCTCGTCCTGACCTAGCCACTGTGATCCACGCGACGGTCACCCCCAGACTGAATTATTGTAACTCGCGCTATGTGGGGCTGCCCTTGAGACTGACCCAGAAACTCCAGCGGGTGCAGAATGCCGCGGCGAGACTCCTTACGGGGTCCTTGCCGCAGAATCACATTCACCCGGTGCTATACCAGCTGCACTGGCTCCCGGTGGGGTACAGGATCAGGTTTAAGGTGCTGGTTTTAACCTTTAAAGCCCTTTACGGCCTAGGACCCTCGTACCTGCGGGACCGCCTCTCCTAGTATGTCCCACGGAGGACCCTTCAAACAAAAACATCTTGGAGGTCCCGGGCCACAGGGAGGTTAGGCTGGCCGCAACCAGAGCCAGGGCTTTTTCGGCTGTGGCTCCGATCTGGTGGAACACTCTGTCACAAGAGACTAGGGCCCTGTGGGACTTGACATCTTTCCGCAGGGCCTGCAAGACAGAGCTGTTCCACCAGGCCTTTGGCCACGGCACAGCCTGACCCCCTCCTTTGGCAATCCTCACAGAACTCTAGCCCAATGGTTGCCATTAATCTGATTTGAACTGATTTTATAATGAAATGATTTTAGAATGTTGTATAATTTTACTGTTGTTAGCCGCTCTGAGCCCGGCTTCGGCTGGGGAGGGCGGGATATAAATAATTTTTTTAATTATTATTATTATTACTATTACTGATCCATTATGTTCAGGTGTAACACCAAAGGGAACCAGTTTGGTGTTGTGGTGTCGGGAACGCCTGGGTTCAAATCCCCACGTAGCCATGAACCTTACTGGATGATCTTGGGCCAGGAAATGGGGGTTATTAAAAGCAGGGCTATTAGCACCTGGGGAAGCATTCAGATTGGGGGTAAAACAACAGCCTATGGGGAAGGTTTAGACATCCCATCAAAACTGGAACACCCAGTAGCTGCTTTAATGGGAATAAAATAAAACTGGGAGATCAGATCAAGGATTGGCCACTCAATTACTGTTTTGCCTCCGATTCAGTTCCAGGATCAAACTGTGGAGAAGCTGGTTTTAATTTCCCAGGCCCATACGGCCCAAGTCCCAAAGAAAGAGAAGCAGACAGAAAAATAAACAAGACATGTTTTTATTATTATTATTATGAGACAAAGTAGTTATTTCCAAAGTATCACAAGCTTTCAAATGGCAGAAAACAGCCGCCAGGCACAGAAATTCAGAGCACAAAAATGAAAAATATTGTTTAAAGTCTGTGCTGTATGGATTTCTTAGATGAGTGTGATGATCTTAACAGAGGCTGGAGCAGGCTGAATTAATCTGATTACAAAGCGAGAACTTGGTGCTCTCCAGACCTTTTGGACTACAACTCCCATCAGCCTCAGGCAGCACGTTTGTAGTGGGTGATGGGAGTTGTAGTTCACAAGATCTGGAGGGAAACCAGCTTGGTGGTGGCTGTGCTAAAGTGAGAGGGTTCACAGTGGTTCTAGATTCAAGCAATTAAAAAAAACATAGCTAGTGAAAACTTGGATTTCTCCAGCTCTTATTATGTTTCATTTCACAGAACTTTTGTAAGAAAGAAAAGGCCACACATTAAGGCATTATTCATACTCAGCCATAGACATTTGTGAATCCACTTTTAGACTCTCTCCCCATTCCCAAAAAATCCTTTTCTTTTTACCCCATATTGCTCTGCTTTCCCCATGACAGCAAAACACCCAAAGAAAGATAGGAGAAGTTGGCAGAGGTGGTTGTCACAGATTCCAGAATCAATACATGGATGGCTTCTCTTCACCTTTGGGGTTGGTCAGTTTCTCCAGGTTTTTGCTCAAGATGTGATAGAGCTCAGCCTGCAGTGGATAGCAGAACACTTGTAAGCGCTAAGAGATTTTTCTCGGTTAAGCTCCACTATTTCCCTCTCTTTTTCGACTGCTGTACTAACCCGTCACCTCCCTCTTAGCATACTCACATAGAACCCACGGATATCGAGCAACATCATCTGGATTTCCCTGTACACGGCCTCATCCCGCTCATGAACGAGACACCGGTAATCCATCTGCAAGGGGATAAGTCAGATCACAACCAGGGACACCATTTCAAGGACGTTAAAAAGTTTCTCCTGGCCAAGATCGAGTTCTTGAGCTTGAACCCTTTCAAGGCCGAAAAAGCCTAAGGTAAAGGGACCCCTGACCATTAGGTCCAGTTGTGGCCACTCTGGGGTTGCGGCGCTCATCTCACTTTATTGGCCGAGGGAGCCGGTGTACAGCTTCCGGGTCCTGTGGCCAGCATGACTAAGCCGCTTCTGGCGAAGCAGCGCACGGAAACAGTGTTTACCTTCCCGCTGGAGTGGTACCTATTTATCTACTTGCACTTTGGTGTGCTTTCGAACTTCTAGGTTGGCAGGAGCAGGGACCGAGCAACAGAAGCTCACCCCGTCGTGGGGATTTGAACCACCGACCTTCTGATCGGCAAGTCCTAGACTCTGTGGTTTAACCCACAGCGCCACCCACGTCCCTCTGAAAAAGCCTAAAGGAAGGCTTAAATCACTCAGCCTGAAGAGCTCAGCTGGTTATGTTGGGTGAGAGTCATTCATTCTCAGAAACAACAATATGTGAAGCTGCGAGAAGCTAAGTTGTTTACAACAGGTACAAGACCATTCTGAAGAATGATTTCTACACATGTGCTGCTTCCGGGCTGGACAGAGAGAGATGTTTAGTCTCAACCCTGCTATCACAGTGGGAAGATGTAAAGAGATTGGTTTGGCAGCTTTTCGGGTCAGGCCCAGAGCGTTAAGATGAAGCTGAACCTCCATCAGGGATCTGATAAATGCATGTAGAGTTTGTAACCGTGACGCTTAAGAATGACAGTAAAGACTCCTGTTGTAACAAAACACTTCCTGCGATTGATTTCTACATGCCATGCAAGACTTGGGACTCCTACACGCTTGGAGGTAAAGGTAAAAGGACCCCTGATCATTAGGTCCAGTCGTAACCGACTCTGGGGTTGCGCACTCATCTCGCTCTATAGGCTGAGGGAGCCGGCATTTGTCCGCAGACAGCTTCCGGGTCATGTGGCCAGCATGACTAAGCCGCTTCTGGCGAACCAGAGCAGAGCACAGAAACGCCATTTACCTTCCCGCCGGAGCGGTACCTACTTATCTACTCGCACTTTGACGTGCTTTCAAACTGCTAGGTTGGCAGGAGCAGGGACCGAGCAACGGGAGCTCACCCCGTCGCGGGGATTCGAACTGCTGACCTTCTGATCGGCAAGTCCTAGGCTCTGTGGTTTAACCCACAGCGCCACCCGCGTCCCTACACACTTGGAAGCTGTGCGTTAATCTGCTTAAAAAAAAGGGCCCCAGTACTTGGACCCAAGGAAAGGAGTTTTGTTTGCCTTAAAAATTCCAACAGGTTAGAGCGTGGTGCTGATAATGCCAGGGTTACAGTTTAATCCCCATATGGGACGGATGCATATTCCTCCATTGCAGGGGGTTGGACTAACTGATCCTCAGGGTCCCTTCCAACTCTACAATTCTATTAACTCAATGACGCTCCTCAACCGATCCCCCAAAGTCTGAGTGGAAGGACTTCTGTTATTCTGTTACTCACCACATGGGTATCCTTGGAAGCCTTTGCGACGGCATCTCCACGCTCTAAAAAGTACCTGGAATGAAGAATGATGCCGATGGTCAGAATGTGTGTTACCTGCACTACTGCTAGACTGTCACCCAGAACAGACTCAAAGTGAAATGAAACCAAAAGTGCTCCAGAACAAAGTGCTAATGCGCAGAACAGTCCTGAGGACAAATTACCCAGAATTCCCTGTGGTTACCCTCTCATCCTTTCAACTTACTTGGCAATAGTGGTCTGGAAAGCCTCTGCCTTGGTCTTCAGGGCTGTGATCCGTTCGAGAACCTTCTCCTGTCAAGAGGAAAAAAACAAGACGAGTTGTGCTTTTGGGGTGGCAAGGGGCGGGCTGTGATCATTTTGAGCGTGACTAATTTGTCTGAGAGAGTGAAATTCATGTCATGGAGGAGGTTGATTTGCAACAAAATCTTACTACAGGTGGAGGTACATGTTCCCCGATAAATCAGGGCATTACATTTATGTCCCAGATACCTCGATATCTGTCTACCTTATCGGTTGTGTCGCATAGATTCGCTTTTGTTAGAGCCAGATTTAATGTGTTCCCCTCAAATGTGCTGAGTAATAGATTTTCTAACGGTAAAACCTCTGTTTTATGCGCATGTGACAACAAATCAATAGAATCCCTTTATCATATCTTGTTTAATTGTCCTTTATATATTGTTCCCCGATCAAGGATTCTGAGTTCAATCATTTTGGAAACTGCTGCTAAACCACCTGAATTACATCTAGCCTATCTAATCCAGGACATTGACTCTTATAGATCATTACAGGTTGCCAGATTCCTGAATTCAGTTCTCTCATATAAAAGACTTCATGGAATGCTGCATGACTATTAAAAATCTAGTAAACTCTATCCACCATCTTTATATTCAAGGCCACAATATGGTACATCTAGAGATTGTATGTAACGTGAAGGAGATTATGCGTTGAAATATTTTAGTTGATATTTTAGAATATAAAATGCTATTTTATTTATTGATTGGTTTTACCTTGTGGGCTTATAGCCGAATAAAGTATTATCTATCTATCTATCATCTATCTATCTATCTATCTATCTATCTATCTATCTATCTATCTATCTTATCTATCTATCATGTTGTTCCATCTCTTTAGGTCTTTGTTAATTTGTCGCCACAGGGGCTTGTAGTTGTGGAGGTATAATTTATTGAGGTTTCTGGTTATTTGTACCCCATGGTATCTGAACTTGGTGTGGCAAAGTTTTATCTTGGTGACATTAGTGAATTATTTTTGGGTGTGAGGAGGGGTGTTGAAGCACATAGCTTCTGACTTTGCAAAATTTACCTGCAGGCCCGACACCATTGCAAATGTGTTGAGTTCTCCAGTTAGGGAGGTTGCTGTGCTTAAGGGGTCTGGTGTCGTGACCATTAGGTCGTCTGCAAAGAGCCCTAATTTATAGGTTCTGCCTTCTATTTCCACTCCCTTGATGTCTGTGGCTGCTCGGATTCGGATTGCTAAGGGTTCAAGAGCCAGGATAAATAAGAAGGGAGACAGTGGGCATCCTTGTTTTGTGCCTGTTTGGATTGCTATAGTATTAGAATCCATATTGTTAGTTCTGCATTTTGCTGAGGTTTGGGAGTATATTTCTCTGAGGATTTGTAGGAAGTTGGGGCCAAATTTCATGCTAGTTAGTACTGCTAATAGTTATTTCCATTCTAAACAATCGAAGGCTTTTGAGGATGTCTAGGGACGCGGGTGGCACTGTGGGTTAAACCACAGAGCCTAGGACGTGCCGATCCGAAGGTCGGCGGTTCAAAGCCCCACGACGGGGTGAGCTCCCGTTGCTCGGTCCCTGTCCTGCCAACTTAGCAGTTCAAAAGCACATCAAAGTGCAAGTAGATAAATAGGTACCGCTCCAGCGGGAAGGTAAACGGCGTTTCCGTGCGCTGCTCTGGTTCGCCAGAAGCGGCTTAGTCATGCTGGCCTCATGACCCAGAAGCTGTACGCCGGCTCCCTCAGCCAATAAAGCGAGATGAGCGCCGCAACCCCAGAGCCGGTCACGACTGGACCTAATGGTCAGGGGTCCCTTTACCTTTAGGGACATAATTGTCAGTGGGAGTTGGGTTGCCTTGCTGTGTTCGATGGGGGGGCAGGCTGTGGATCGGCGGCAGGCGAGGGGCGGATTCTCCGAGCGCCTCGCTTCCTCTTACCTGAACTGCCACGCCAAAATCGTTGCCGTCCTCAATTTTGGGAATCATGTACTGAATCCAGGTTGTCACCTGAGGGGAACGTGGAGAAAGAAAACTGAGGGAGCATCGAACGAAGGGCTCATTTTTGCCAGCTAGGCCAAATGCACATCTGAGAAAAACCACACATAATTTAAGATTTTTAACAGACTACAGCCTCTAGGCACTTTTTATACAATTTGGCCCTTCCTTCGTTACGCATACCTTCCGCAAGACAAGCCTTGCAAATCTTGAACTAGCCGTGGCAACCAAATAACGCTGATATTCTATCTGAAGACCCTTTTTATCCTCACCTCTTCCCTTCCTTTCACAATCTGGGCTTTCCGTTGCTTAAGCCACAGGTAAGCGCCGGTTTTTTAAAAATTTCGTCTTTTTACAAGCTTTCCCCAACCGACGTAATTTTAGAGTTTCGCTTTTTACGTTTTAATTTCCACCCATCGCTAGGACCGCGCTTTCTGCGTTGTGCATGTCGTAAAAAAGGAAAAGGGGAACAAAATATTTACCAGTAGGCATTTCTCTTTGAACTCCCGGACTTCGGGTTTGACGCGATCCAAAAGCGAAATGATTGCTTCGTTGGACTTAAGGTAGCCGCATTTCGGAGCTACAGGGGGCAGAAAGTGAAAGTCAGTCCCCAAAATGCAATGGAATATTATTTGCGCTCATCCCAAAATCTTATTTCCCTTCCTTCCAACTGAAGACCCCTCTCTCACCTTCCTTGTCCTTGTCCTTCTCTGTCTCCATCTGTATGATAAAAAAAAACACCAGCAAATGCTGTTACATCCTTAATCAGTGCTGGATTTATGTATAAGCTAAACAAGCTATAGCTTAGGGCCCCACAATCTTGGGGCCCCCCCAAAAATTTAAAGGGGGAAAACCACCTGGATGTGTATTTCCAAAATATAAGATAAAAAACAAATAAAATAAAATATACATACAGCAACAGTGTTTTGTGTTGTGTAGGCTCCTATTTGTTATGTGCAAATGGCTTTAGATACCTATGAGGTCCATAAATGACCATATGGCATATACTCAACCCCCAAAACAGCGACCATTTGTTGTTGACAAAGGACAGCTGGAAATATAAAGGGCCCCATTGCCTTCAGTAGCTTAGGGCCTCATCAAACCTAAATCCGGCCCTGATCCTTATCCTTGCAGGTGGATTTTGGGTTTTCTTGGGGGGGGGGTTAGAGAAGAAGACCCCTCAAACAACTCACCTCATCATCTTTGGGAGGGGGGTCTGGAATGGGGATGTCCAGCGGGGCACGGAGGGTGGTCAAATCTTTAACGTTCAGCGCCCCTTCCTGAAAAGAGAACTATTGTTATAGGGCAGCTATGTAAAGGCAGTGTGGTATAGTGGTTGGAGCACCGGACTAGGACTTGGGAAGGCCCCATAACTGCTCCCTGGGGCCTAATCTGCACTACAGATCTGAAGCAGCCTCTGGTTTCACCCCAGAGTCGTGGTTTCACCCCCAGAGAAATTACGGGAGCTGTAATTTATTAAGGGCGCTGCTGAGAATTGTTAGGAGACGCAGAGCTGCAATCTGCAGAGGGGTTTAACAATTGATCCCTCTCCCCAAGGAACTCTGGGACTTGTAGTTCTCCGAGGGGAATAGGAAGGAAGGAATTGGAAAGAGAAACAGGAAAAAAATCCGTGTGGCTCAAATATTGCATTAGGACCTGGGAGTTTGAGTTTCAAGTCCTCACACAGCTATGAAGCTCACTGGACAACCTCGGACCAGACACAGACTCTCACTGTGTCCTACCTCACGGGGTTGTTGTGAGGTTATAATGAGGAAAGGAGAAAAAACATGGACGGGGTGGGGTGTAAATATAACTTTTTAAGTGCAAATGTAAGCAAGAAAATAAATAAGGGGACAGGGATCAAGATAAAGGGAGAAAGAAGTTAGCGAAAATGTATAAAGTCAGTAATACAGTGGTACCCCGCAAGACGAACGCCTCGCAAGACGGAAAACCCGCTAGACGAAAGGGTTTTCCGTTTTGGAGGCGCTTCGCAAAACGAATTTCCCTATGGGCTTGCTTCGCAAGACGAAAGCCCATAGGGAAATCTCCGGGGACCTCTTTTAAATGCTAGCGGTGGGGAGCAAAGCCTTCCCCCCCCCCGGCCTTCAGAAGAGGTCCAGGAAGGCTGGCGGGGGCCGAAAGGCTTTGCTCCCCACCGCCAGCATTTTAAAAGCAGTCCGGGATAGCAGGGAAGCGCTTCCCGCTATCCCGGACGGCTTTTGAAGGCAGGAGAGGTCCGCGAAGCCTGGGCGCGCTGATCTCAGCGCGCGCAGGCTTCGGCATGCCGGCAACTCTCCGCAAGCAGCGGCAGCGCTGCCGCTGCTTGCGGAGAGGTCCGCGAAGCCTTGGCTGGACAGCTTTTGAAGGCAGGCGGGGGGGAGCAAAGACTTTCGCCCCCGCCAGCCTTCAGAAGAGGTCCTGGACCTCTTCTGGAGGAGGGTGGGGGGCAAATGTCTTTGTCCCCCCTGCCTGCCTTCCCGGGAGAGCGGAATAACGCAGCGCGTTTCTCCGCTCTCCCGGGAGGGCTTTTAAAGGCAGGCAGGGGGGACAAAGACTTTCGCCCCCCGCCAGCCTTCAGAAGAGGTCCAGGACCTCTTCTGAAGGCTGGCGGGGGGCAAAAGTCTTTGTCCCCCCTGCCTGCCTTCCCAGGGGCTTTTAAATCGCCCCGGACAGCGGAGAAGTCCTCCGCTGTCCCGGGGCGATTTTAAAATGCCGCCCGCCAGCATTTTAAGATTGCCCCGGACAGCGGAGAAGCCCTCCGCTGTCCCGGGGTTTTTTAAAATGCTGGGGGTGGGAAGAAAAGCCCTTGTCCCGTCCCCCCCAGCCTTCAGAAGAGGTCAGGGGACAGACTGTCCCCGGACCTGGTCTGAAGTCGGTTTCCCTAGGAACGCATTAATTGATTTTCAATGCATTCCTATGGGAAACCGTGCATCGCAAGACGAAAAACTCGCAAGAAGAAAAAACTTGCGGAACGAATTAATTTCATCTTGCGAGGCACCACTGTAAATGTTGGAAATGTAAAGAAAAAGAGGGAACATTTTATCACATGTGGTGGGAATGTAAAAAGGTGAAATGATTCTGGGAGATGATATATAATGAGATGAAAAAAATGTGGAAATATACATTTATAAAGAAACCAGAAGCATTTTTACAATGGGCATTGTTGGGAGTGATATAAATAGAAAGGAATAGAAGCTCTTTTTATATGCAGTAACAGCAGCAAGAATATTACTGGCCCAAAAATGGAAGCAAGAAGAATTACCGACGATTGAAGAATGGAGGATGAAGTTAATGGACTATGCAGAATTAGATAAACTAACAGGAAGGATTCAAAACCGGCGGGACCAGAAATTCATGGAAGACTGGAATAAATTTACAGACTATTTGAAAAGTATTTGTGAAGATCAGACGGCTTTTGTAGGTTTGCAAGAAGTTTTGTGAGGAGTCTTATTGAAAGTATTGCCAAAATGGATAAGGGGGAGGATGATTTGTTAAGAGATGTAAAGGCAATATAAAGTTAACAAATGCATAAGAAGTGGTTAAAACGGTGGATCATCAGAGGTGCTGATGGAAGTCCAAAAAGATTGTATAAGTGATAAGTTTTGTGGTACATTTTATAATTTATATGTTAAAATTAATTAAAAATTATTTTTTTAAAAAAAGATAAAGGGAGAGAGAAGGGGGAGTTATATAAATTCGTCTCCAAAAAAGGATCTGGCCGTCCTGAGGGGTCCTGCTGGTGTTCTCTTACCTTGAGGAACTGATCCAATTGCAGTATTTTCCTGGGCAAAAACGAGCACAGAAATTCTTCGCCCTGCAAGATGAGCGGGGGTGTGGGGGGGGATTAAAAGAAACAAATTACCTTTTGGGAAAGGGGTATTTGAAGAGATTTGAGGGGCGGGATTATAAAGCGAAAGAGGCTTACCTCTTGCAAAAGGGACGCTCTGAAAACAGCCATCTAAGGGAGAGAAAGAGAGATTGAGAAATGCAACCGCTTCTGGGGCTCAGCAGGAACATTACGGAACAGCAGCACGTAACACACAAGTTCTCTGGAATAGCAGTGTTTCCCTGGATAAAAAAAGTCCGTCATATTTTAGGAATCCTGCCAGAAAAATTCCACAAAGCAGTGAATAGACCCCATCTATAGAGATGTGTCCAAATATGTTTTAATATTGACTTCAACATGTTTCATGCAAGCTTTTTTTTAAAAAAAAACCCCAACAACATTCATTTAAACCATATACTGTACATCCGAGAAACTTGGGAATTGCAGTTTCACCACCACCACACACAGAGCTATGATATCCCAGCACCCTGAACAAACTTCATTTCCCAGGATTCTTGAGGAGCGGGGTGTCTTAAAAGGTAAAGGTACCCCTGCCCGTACGGGCCAGTCTTGACAGACTCTAGGGTTGTGCGCTCATCTCACTCTAGAGGCTGTGAGCCGGCGCCGTCCGCAGACACTTCCGGGTCATGTGGCCAGTGTGACATCGCTGCTCTGGCGAGCCAGCGCAGCACACGGAACGCCGTTTACCTTCCCGCCAGAGTGGTACCTATTTATCTACTTGCACTTTGACGTGCTTTCGAACTGCTAGGTTGGCAGGAGCAGGGACCGAGCAACGGGAGCTCACCCCGCCACGGGGATTCGAACCGCCGACCATGCGATTGGCAAGTCCTAGGCACTGTGGTTTTACCCACAGCGCCACCCGCGCCCCATTTATGGTGTATACGTAGCCCAAATAAAATAGCAGTCTATGTAAATCAGGTGTGGCTAACCCTCTCTGATTCGCCACCAAGTGGGTTCCCTTTTCTGCCGTTCCCCAAGATCCAAGATTTGGGCATCAACGAAAAGGGGGGGGGGGCGGAATTAAATGTAGACACAGCGGATTTTCCAAAACAGATTCCACCTGCACAGATCATCAAAGGGGCTGTTTGCTTTTGTGCATGGAAACCTAGCCAGATGGGCGGGGTATAAATAAAATGAAACAAAAATAAAAATAATTACTATGATAATAATTATGTGAGAGGGCGTGTGTATGTGTGGCCAGACCCATTTTCGCCATGTGGCCCCTGAACATTTTGGAATCTGGCCCTCGAGGCTGAAAGCCACCGTTAGCCATGCCTGAGGTAAATAATTAGCAGAAGTGCAGACACGTCCGTCTAAGAATAAACAGGGGATTTCTGTAGCAGGGGTGGAGGCTAAAATAAAATGCGAAGGACAGGAACGCCAGCCCACCAGATGTCAAAGAGAAAAACAACCACCAAACTTTTAGAAGAATCTGAAGGCAGCCCTGTTTAGGGAAGCTTTTAATGTTTAACAGACTATTGTATTTTAATATTTTGTTGGAAGCTGCCCAGAGTGGCTGGGGAAACCCAGCCAGATGGGCGGGATATAAATAATAAATTTATTATTATTATTATGGTGCAAGTAGAGTTACACCCACCCTTGCAACAAATAGATTCCTCTCCTATTACTGGATTCCTATACGTCCCAGGAGGCACACAGAATTGTATACAGTGGTACCTCAGGTTACATACGCTTCAGATTACATGCGCTTCAGGTTACACACTCCGCTAACCCAGGAATAGTGCTTCAGGTTAAGAACTTTGCTTCAGGATGAGAACAGAAATCGTGCTCCGGCAGTGCGGCGGCAGCAGAAGGCCCCATTAACTAAAGTGGTGCTTCAGGTTAAGAACAGTTCCAGGTGAAGAACGGACCTCCAGAATGAATTAAGTACTTAAACCGAGGTACCACTGTATTTGCAAGGGACCCCCATGGGTCTGCAATGCGTGAATCTTTTGTCCAATGTGTGTCTCGGACCCACAGCCCTGAGATTATAAATCTCATGCTCTGCCAACTCAGCTATCAAGTCTCTGACAACATAGCTATAAATTATAACTGACTCATAAGCTGAAAATAATGGAAATAAGCCTGCAGTCCTCAGCCTGCTGATTTGAAAGCTAACCCCACCAATGTCAACGGGAATACAGCCCTAAGTCTTGCTTTCCTAGGCGTAAGTCCCCACAGACCATGCTGGGGGTGGGAAAATAATCAAAATAATAATTTTTATTTATACCTCAGCCAAGGACGGGCTCAGAGTGGTTTACAAGCAATAATAAAAACAAGTTGAATGATTACAACTTAAAAACAAAATTAAAATGCAACATTAAAATATTGAAACATTAAAATATTAAAATGTAGCCTCCTCGCAGGAGGAGAAGGAAATACCTTCCTGGCCTAGTCTCCCCCCTTTCAAAGCCTGCTTTTTGGGGAATATAACTGAAGATGCCCCCAAGCATGTGCAGAGTGCCTTTCTGCCCAGCAGTAAGCAGAGGGCCCCTCCAAATCTGGGATAAGAAAGAGGGAGTGTGGCTTAGTGGTTAAGTGTCAAACGAGAACCTGTCAGAGCCGGGTTCGAATCCCCACTCAGCCACTGGGTGTGGCCTTGCGCCAGTCACTGACTAACCTCCCTACCTAACCTACCTACCTTGCAAGGTTGTTGTGGGGGATTAAATGAGGAGGGGGAGAAGAACCACAGAGCCCACCTTGAGCTGCTGGGAGAAAAGGGTGGCATAGAATCGAAGCAAATAAATGCATTTGTAGGAATTGCAGGTCGGTTCCCCCGGTTGGTCCGTGCCTGAAAACGAGCAATGGTGGTGGGAGGAACGGGCTGCTTAGTGATAACCACTAACCCTCAGCACATGCTCAGAGGTACTCTCGTTTCTCAGTAGCCACCAGATCCGGGCAAGAACCTTAGTCCCCGCACCCTATTTTTAGAGCACCTTCCATTTGACCCCCCTGCCAGACTTGACCCCTATTTGCACCCAGTTCCCCCCCCCAAACTCCGCACCTTTTCACGGGACTCCTTGCTGACTTGGATGGTGCAGGATTTGGCCATCGTGGCGTTGTCGGGGGGGTCTTGTTGAGGCAGGGAGGGAAAGAATCCGAACAGAAGAAGCGGAAAACAGCCTCGCCGACCGCCCCTTCCTGCAAGCAGCTCAGCTCCGCACCTTCACTTTCGCTTTCGCATTCACACGTTCCGCCCCCGCGGCCGCCCCCTTTCCCTTTCCCTCCCCCGCCCCCCACGCATCGACAGGGTCGCCTATCCTCGCCTTGCACAGAAATAGCCCCGGGAGGGGCGAAACCCAACTTCCCAAGGAATGCGAACATTTCGCAAGAAAGTAAAAGAAAGAAAAAGAACTTTGCAGGGTGGACGGCGTCCTCGCAGCCACGTAGCCCTGCATTGCGACACCCCCACTTTAAAAAAAATCCCCTAGTGTAATAAGAAGAAGTGTAAAAGACGTGTGGCGTAAACGGTGGAAGTCTTTTAAAACATTTTAATTAAGACTGATATTTTGCAAGATGGAAACATAAAATTGTATGCAAGTATAGATCTGAAATTGTTGTTTATGGTGAACACTTTTCTATTTTCTAAATTTCTATTTTTAACTTTTATTTCTTCTTTTATTCTCTTTTTTCTTTTTTCCTCTTCTTTTCGAATATTGCTTTACAGATGTATAAATAATTATGTTCATGTGTATATATATGAGATTTGTTTCTTGATATCTTATTTGATTTTTTTTTGTATTTAATAAAAATTAATTAAATAAGAAATCTTTTTTTAAAAAAAGAATTTTAAGGTCTTAGATAGATAATAAATGTTCATAAATGTACCAAGCAAACACGTACATAAATATATAAACCGCATGTCTGGAGCAGTGCAGGAAGACAGCCCTGAAACCATTTTGACTCCCAAGCTGACCAAACGTTTCTCTGCAAGGAGAGAGAGGAAGTGAAAAAAACCCCTTCCTTGTTACAGGAATTTAGTAAACACCATTTCAAAGGGTGACAAGGAAAGGCAATCAGATTAAGGCATTATCCGATAACCTGGCAGACAGGAAAAACAGCAACACTCAAATTTCTGTTGTAGACCACCTTTTCTGTGATGTAGGGATGATGTTTGTGGGGGGTGGTCTTGGGTTACACCCCTTCTGTGATGTATGCATAATATATGGAGGGGTGATCTGGAGCTCCAGGGCAAGGAATTTAATATTTAAAATAAGGGCAGGCACACCTTGGTTCTGGGTCCTCCTTTCCTGCGTGTGAGGGGAGCACCCTGTTGCAACAGATCAATAAAGATCAGGCATACTAGCAGCTTTGCTTCTCAATATCCTCTGGTTGGCCTCTGTTATTTTCTCCTACCAGTAGGGAACTCAAGCCAGGACTCTATATGGGCTCTTTGATACCCCACAAGGGAAAAAGGGCAGATTTTGGTTATAACACTAGCAAAATAATCCCAGGACCTAATGAAGCAATTAATTAAATACATTTGGGGACTCCATACATTTCTCCAAGCTTTGCCGGGGGGGGGGGGCAAATCCCAGCTAAGAGGCTGTTGCAGGAATTTATGTATAGGTTGGGGGGGTGTTGCCCCTCCAGCAGATATCATGCACATGCAGCCCACTACCAAAACCAGCACAATCGCTTTTGTGACTTTGGTGATTTGTCCCCACAAAACACTTCATCACAGTTTCTTCCTATCTATTCAAAGGGCCTCAAGACCAAATGTAAGAATTCACTGATAAATGTATCTCTGTACTGGCTCACAGGGAAAACTTCAGAAATTCATATAGACATGTGAGCTCAGCTCCTCAGCAGCCCCTCTGCCTGAGTGATCATCCCTGGCCTCCTTATACCTGAGTGCCAGACAGGTAGCCATTCCAGAAATGACAAACCCAGATGAAGACAAAAGGGCGTGATTGACTTGGCTGGGAAACAGGGAAATGTAAATACGGTATCTTTTTTGTTACACTTGATGGGTGTTTGGTGGAGGGCAAGGGGGACCATGGGGCAGGGTCCAGGATGCTCAGATTACTGCCACCAGACCTCCCCTTTCATGATGTAACCGTGATGTATTAGTGATGTACCGTATTTTTCGCACCATAGGACGCACTTTTTCCCTCCTAAAAAGCAAGGGAAATGTGCGTGCGTCCTATGGAGCGAATGCAGGGGGAGGCAGGCGGGAAAAGCCCCCAAGAGCCGCACACAAGCTCCGTGCGCTCTTACGGGCTTTTCCACAGGAGGGAGAAGGGACTGACTGGCCACATCAGTCCCTTCTCCCACCTCCCAGAAAAGCCAGGAGAAGCCGTGATCTCTTTAAAGGAGTTGCACGGATTCTGCGGGCTTTTGCGAGAGGTGAGGGAATCCCCCCACCTCCCAGGAAAGCCAGGAAAGCCCTGTGCAGCGTCTCCTGGCAAGGAGAGGCTGCACGGGGCTAAAGGAGAAGCCAAAACAGCGAGCGGGATCCATCCCGCCCCCTGCCTTGGCTTGCTCCATAGCTGCGCGCAACCCCTCCGGCAGGGAGAGGTTGTGCGCAGCCTGTACGCTGCTCTTTGAGGCTGGGGGGGAAATATTTTTTTCTTGATTTCCCCCCCTAAAAACTGGGTGCGCCCTATGGTCCAGTGCGCCCTATGGTGCGAAAAATACGGGTAGTTTGGGGAGGTGTAACATAGGAATTAAGGTAAAGGTAAAGGGACCCCTGACCATTAGGTCCAGTCGTGACCAACTCTGGGGTTGCGGCGCTCATCTCGCTTTATTGGCCGAGGGAGCCGGCGTACAGCGTCCGGGTCATGTGGCCAGCATGACTAAGCAGCTTCTGGCGAACCAGAGCAGCGCAAGGAAATGCCGTTTAGCTACCTGCTGGAGTGGTACCTATTTATCTACTTGCACTTCATGCTTTTGAACTGCTAGGTTGGCAGGAGCTGGGACCGAGCAACGGGAGCTCCCCCCGTCGTGGGGATTTGAACCGCCGACCTTCTGATCAGTAAGCTCTGTGATTTAACCCACAGCGCCACCCACGTCCCTAACATGGGGATTAGCAGCTAATAAAAGTTTGGATTCTCTTTTGTTCCATCTTGTTCCACCTTGTGGCAGGTGGGAATCCTGTCACGACAGTCTTCAATAAAGGCCAAGCCTACTGGCTGCTGTTTTGCTCTGGTATTCCTGGCTGGTGTCCTTGTTTTTTTTTTTTGTCCAAGGGAGCCCTCAGATGATGATGATGATGATAATAATAATAATAATAATAATAATAATAATAATAATAATAATTATTATTTATACCCCGCCCATCTGGCTGGGTCCCCCCAACCCCCCTGGGCGGCTTCCAACAAAACACTAAAATACAATAACCTATTAAACATTCAGCATCTTAAAAAGCAGAGACATCACCTTGCCAACAAAGGTCTGTATAGTTCAAGCTATGGTTTTCCCTGTAGTGATGTATGGAAGTGAGAGCTGGACCATAAAGAAGGCTGATAGCCGAAGAATGGATGCTTTTGAATTCTGGTGCTGGAGGAGACTCTTGAGAGTCCCATGGACTGCAAGAAGATCAGACCTCTCCATTCTGAAGGAAATCAGCCCTGAGTGCTCACTGGAAGGACAGATCCTGAAGCTGAGGCTCCAAGACTTTGGCCAACTTATGAGAAGAGAAGACTCCCTGGAAAAGACCCTGATGTTGGGAAAGATGGAGGGCACAAGGAGAAGGGGACGACAGGAGGACGAGATGGTTGGACAGTGTTCTCGAAGCTACCAGCATGCGTTTGACCAAACTGCGGGAGGCAGTGGAAGACAGGAGGGCCTGGCGTGCTCTGGTCCAGGGGGCCACGAAGAGTCGGACACGACTAAACGACTAAACAACAACTAACTTGGCTGGGAAACAGGGAAATGTAAATATCTCTTTGTTCCACTTGATGGGTGTTTGGTGGAGGGCAAGGGGAACCATGGGGCAGGGTCCAGGATGCTCAGATTCCTGCCACCAGACCTCCCCTTTCATGATGTAACCGTGATGTAGTTTGGGGGGGGGTGTAACATGGGGATTAGCAACTAATAAAAGTTTGGGTTCTCTTTTGTTCGGGGCTTCCATCTTGTTCCACCTGGTGGCAGGTGGGAGTCCTGCCACGACAGTCTTCAATCAAGACCAAGCCTACTGGCTGCTGTTTTGCTCTGGTATTCCTGCCTGGTGTCCTTGTTTTTTGTCCAAGGGAGCCTTCAGATTTCTCCGTTCAGAGAGGCGGGGCAGGCTGTTGGTTGGCCAGAGGCGCTCTGCAGATGCTCAGAGGCACGCCGGTTATTCTTTTTTCTTCTTCTTTTTTTCGCAATTCCTGGAGCAAGGCGGCTTGTAGTTCTTCCTCCCGCTCTCCTGGGGTCCCCCTCGGCTCCTCTCGGCCTTCCCTTTGCCCACAAGCCCTGCCTCGTTTCCTGCTCTCCTCCGCCTTCCTCCTCTGCAACCAGCTGTTGGGGTTTCGCATGACAAGTGAGTGACGCGCCTGGATTTCTCCCTCCCCCCCCCGCCGCCCCCCAAACAAGGTAAGATCCTGCTCCCCCCACTTTCCTCCCCCCCACACTTTCCAAGGGGGCAGGAGGATCCCCTTGAAACCCAACCCGCAACCCCCCCCCTTTGCAACTTTTACTTCCCCCCCCTCCAAGGTTGGGGAGGAAGTCAGGCTTGTGCAAAAGTGGAAGCTGCAAATGATCCGCTCCCAGACCCCCCCCAAAAAATCTGAGATCCTGCACCCGCCATGACCCCCTGCGCCAGCCCCACTGAAATCGGAGGGGCTTTCTCCCGGGTCAGCTTGCAACGTGCGAAACGCTGCTTGCGAACGGGGGTTGGAGGGCTGCCCCCCACTCTTTCTTTCTTTTTTTTTGCTTTCGATTTGCAAGCTTCTGACCCGTTTCCCACAAAATCGTAGCATCGGAAGAATACCCTCCAACAATTTTCGGATGAAAATGGGGATGTCCTATTCCATAATAATGATGATGATGATGATTTTATTATTTGTACCCCAGCCATCTGACTGGGTTGCTGCTCTGGGCGGCTTCCCACATAAAGAAAAACATAACAAAACATTTTTTTAAAAATTTCCTTATACAGGGTTGCCTTCTAAAGGCTGTGTGATTACTTGCCTCTTTGGCTCGGGGGTGCATAATTCCATACCCTCCAATATTTCTCCAATGAAAAGAGGGACGTCCAAAGGAAAAGCGGGACATTTTTATGTTCTTATG